TGGCTCTCCATAAATTTTCCTTTAGTGTAAATTATGTAACTTTTTGGGAAAGATAATGAAGTGGTTTCTTGTCTTCTCCATGTTTTTGAATTCATAGTAGTCCTTTGCCTAGACTGGCTACCACCACTCACGGCTAGAGACTGAAGTCTAACTTGCTATTTAACCCAAAGGAGGAAGATAAATGGATTCATACCTTTTTCATAGGGCATTAGTGTCAAAGTGAATGCAAAGTGACTTGGATGTAATTTGCACATGGCTTACAATTACTGTACAAATCACTGTTACATTATTTGCATATTGGTGCTAAACCTTACTTTCTTCAAACTGTTGGATTTAGAAAAACAAAACAATATCTATAAATTGAAATTAACTCAATAATATTTAACAGGACAGATTAAGCTGCTCCATTCTGGTTGGCAACAAATTTAGGAGAAGGATAACAGGAAACCACTATTTTTCTCAAGAAAAATACCAATTATACACTGTTTAAAAATATTAAGACAAAACATAGCTGTGGAGAACCCTGATAACATATGCTGAGTGAGTGAGTGGGTGGGTGGATGTTTGGGTGGGTGGATGTTTTGGTGGGTGAGTGAGAGTAATATAGAATGGTCGTGCTAAATACATTCAAAGATGAAATAAACTTATTGTTGCAAAAATTTTCATACAGATGGTCCAGTAACAGTCCAGTAGTAAGCCCAAAAAAAAAAAAAAAAAAAAAAAAAATATATCCAGCACCATGTTCTGAAAAGGATGGTAAAATGCTAATTTTCCCAATTCATGCAAACAAGCACAAGAGAATGATATTTTTCAGCTATGGAACATTTTAGCCATGGTTCTTTGCTCTAGTGTGTTAAATTCAATATTAACCTTGCTTGTGCAAATCTGTCAAATAAACTATATACTTGATGAGGAATAAAAAATAAGATACTATTTCAAATAACACCTTGAATAATGACAAATAACACACCTTGGAAAGTTTTTTATATATTATTTAAACTGTACAGATTTGAATTAAAAAAAAAAAAATAAATGAATATACAATGAAAGGATATGTCTATTCAAGTGTAAGAGATGAGGAATACATTTAATTTTTCCTCATATTACACAATATAGGAATTTCTACCTGAGCAATTAAGTTCTAAACTCCTTTGGTAAACAAGATTTGTTTTTGGAAGCAAAATTCTCTTGTAGATGTAGTCAGTTTATTCTGGTTTGTGATAAAGTTCCCTAATTCCTTTTCTTCAACCAACAGCGTAGCATAAATCAGAAAACTTAAGTTTTCCGCTTTGCTAATGCAATTGCACTTCTTTGTCACCTCTTTAAGCACATTTTATAGATTGAGTGACACTCCATATTTGCATATGTTTAAAAAGAGATTCTCGTGAACATCTGTTTTAAATATACAACATGTAAAGCTGTCATTTTCTTTTTTGGAATATTTTACATGCGAGACATGTCAGAATCTGTTTTCGTCATGGAAGTCAGTAACTTTCTCTCATGTTACAGTAGGATTTGATGGTATGTTAACAAAATAAAAGTTACAAATTAAAAAAACATGAAGCAAATCAACTTATGAGCTTTGAATATAAATAACTATATAAATAGTTATTTTACAATGCAATTTTTTTCCCCTCCAATGAAGCTTATACATAAGTATTTGGAAATAAACAAATGGTCTTCAGACCAGAAATGTCATCTTACAAGTGCTCAATAAATATAAATCGTACTGACTCTTAATTTATCGTTGTTGAGATGTAAAGTCTGCCAAAATGCAGAAGGCTATGGTTTCAGGGGCCATGAACAACACATTGCCACTTGTTTACATGATGTACAAACATACAAAAAAAAAAAAAAAAAAAAAAAAAATCAATTGTACTCTGACATGGCAATTATAGATAGATAAGGGAGAGAATGGTTTGACCATACACTCACTCAATCTTCTTTGTCGACCAAAGAAGTAACATACCAATTAAAAAAAATACGAGAGACACTGAAAAATTACTAGCTTGATTCACTTCCCAAAATCTGATTAAAGACCAAATATCAATTACATGTGCAAGAAGATTTTAGGATCCCTTCCTATTTTATCAAGACAGATCACAGGGAGAACTGGATTTGCTGTATGATGTAAACATCACTAATTTCATTTACGTTATTTGGACTGTTATCTTTATCTCCATTGCCATATTCACAATGTTTCGACCGTTGTTGGCTCCTGCCTTCTTCAGGTGATTGTAATTTCAAACTGAACACTTTATTTCATCCACCGGGGTAGATTGTTAGAGTTCCTCATGATATATCTCTTCCAGATGTCTCAGTTATTTCCCTTTAACTAAACTCTCCAAGTTTTTTTGGTTCACCACTGCTGTGGCCTCGTATTGAACTCAACTCTTTGGGTCCAGTCATTGGATCTAACCAATGTCTTTATACACTGGTGCCATGTGTACTGAAGAAGGCTGGAGAGTACAATGGCTGAAACATTGTGAATGAGGACGAGGATAACAGTCCGAATAATGTAAATAATGTTAGTAATGATAATACCTCATCTTAGAGATATAGACAGAATCAATAATTTCTGTCAGTGTCATTTTTTTCTTTAGATTACTCTTTATCCAAAAAAAGACCCAAGAGCCATTAAAAGTACAGGGTTACTAAATTAGCTTGTTTTATGGACGTAAGAGGTGGAGGTAAAAACTGTAGATTATGAAGACATGTAAGATAATTAATGGCTAACCCTGGATGAAGAGGTCAAGATTGTAGTACTTTGGGAAGCATCCTCTTGGGAGTTTCTTCCGCAAAGTAGTGGCTCTTGGGAAGAAACTTTTCTATGGAGTATTCAGAGTTATGCGCATAAGCAATAGTTTACAATATTAGTTTCTTTCAGGTTAATTTTTAAGTTCAATTAGCTAGATCAAAGAAACTATATTAGAGTATTTTACTGTAATTTGGTATAGAAAACATTTTGTCTGTTAATGAACTTAGTTGTTATTATGAATTAATTACAAGATCCAGACATTACAATATTTGGATAAAAACAATATCTTAATTCAACATTGGAAATATGGCCTAGAAAAATAAATAATTCTATATAAAGAGAGGTTATTATATACCAGGAACTGCTTTATGGAACTACAAAAGGAATAAATAAAAAAAAAAAATTAATTTTTAAAAGACATTAATAATAATGGTTGGTTGACAATGCTTTATCTCATAAAAAAGGCAATTGATATTAAAATAAAAACAAGTATGGTCATGGAATGGCGAGTTAGTTAGATTTGGTTTTCTGTAAAAGTCAGCAAGTTTTCATAGTTGAGAGATTAAAGTAATCAGCCATTTACCAGACCCACTCAAAGGCAAAAGGGATTTGAGTTCAGACTTCAGCAATAACTTAGTTATTTCCAATCTGTTGTATTTTGGCAGCCTGAGTAAAACTGTGACAAAATGTAATTAAAAAAATCACGATGAAATAAATACTATTCAAAATGCTTCATCTAATAAATAAAATGAAAATAATGATCTGCTTGACTAGCTTGTAAACCATCAGTCCAAATCAAAGTCTCATTAATCATACAGTAGACTCATGGATTTTCACTTAATTCAAATCAATACTTATTACTCTAAATGTTTGATTTTGTTAAGTCTAGTAAGAGTAAAGAAGAGAGTTTATTGCTGGAATGATTGGTAAGCATATATATTTTCCACTCCATATTTGCAGAAAATATTGAGTGATTTATAGGAAAGTGGAATCTTTTCTTTAACCTTTTTGCATTTCAAACAATGACAACAAATGCTGAGATTTAGTCTAAGTTTAAGACTAAAAAATAAAATTTAGTCAAATGACTATTGTACTCGTTGACACTGTATTCGTCTCAAAATCAAGAAGAATCAGAAGAGGAGAGAATCAGATAAATTCATAGTATGTCCTTTGTCTGACTATTAATAATATTGATATTAGAAATTGGAAAGTAAGTTTTTGGTACAAGGAAATAAAGAAAAACACTGCATAACTTGCTTATTATTTTGAATACACTTTTGTTTTGTATATTTGTCAAAGTTGGGTTCTGAATTATCATTTTAAATAAGTTGAAAGTTACTTCCAAAAGCATGAATATAAAACTGAAAAACATTCAAAAGTTGACTTATATGAAAGTCAACATTAAAAAATATTATAAAGAAGATATTACCTAAAAAGAAATATCTACAAAATAAAGATATATCAAATAAATGCAAAATAATTTGTTTTTTGTACGTATGAACTGCTAGTTTTCAGGTAATATCACAGTGTAAAACAACAAGGAAATTTTTCTACACAGTAGAAAAATTCATATTAACAGTAAAAATACTGGACACAGCAGTAAAAGTAGTTGTATACAACTATTTTGATGTCTGTTGTGAAATGAACAATGGATCTACACAATTTATAAAGTTAATTCTGTAAAACTTGAAGACTTCATTTTGGTTCGTTTTGCTATTTGAATTGCATGTTATTGGAGAGTGTTAAAATCTTATAAAAATCTGATAGAAAACATTTCAATATAAATTTATTTTTAGTTAACTCTGTGCTAAAGTAAAACTTTACAAAAATAAACATCTCTGAATGAAATCTTTTGAAAAACAATTCCAATATATAAGCAAATACAAGGACATGAAGAATAGCAATCAAAATAATCACATGTAAAACTAAAAAGAAAAGACTGTCAACAAATGCAAACACAATGAGAAAAAAATTTCATTAAAATAATATACACAAATGAAAAAGTTGAAAGTAGACAATGTCTACTGGAGTTTAAGTTTATACTGTACAGTTTGACTATATGATGAGGCAACATTTGGCTGCAAAAGAAAACAATTATAAAGTTCATAAGGAAATATCAAAATTGTGTCAGTCAGCTATTGCCAGGATAACACAAGAGATGCTCACTTCTCAAGAAATATAACTGACCATCAATGTCTGTTTGCAAGCCAATTTCAACCTTGGTCCAATCTCTACGGGTTTATTATTCCCGCCTTCTTTGTTTGCTGCGACTAGGTTCATATTCTTTGTTACTGGATCGAGACTCCACATGAGTTGAGCGTTTCTGTCCGCCATGTTTGGCTTCTGTCAAGAATTTATCCAAACCGAAAGGATCAGGATCTTCCTCAAACTGGACAGGTCCATCGCGTTTGCGGGACTTGTCTGTTCCTGCAAAGCCCTTCTCTGCTTCAAATCTCTTGGTCTTCATGATTGTCTCAAGATCATCACCATACATATCTTTATCGGCATTTTTGGAAGGTCGGTAGATAGAATCAGCAATAGTGCGATCTTGGCGCCAGGGTTTGTCATAGACATTGTAGACCTCATCATCACCAAAACCACTGTCCATACCTTTCGAACGGTTGAACAATCTCTGGTCAAACTGTACTTCTTGTGAATTGGCTACACCTGTATTTGGAAGATTTAGGGCAATTATTTCACTAACATCTCGTTCTCGTTCATGCTGAAGTCGGGATCTTTTGTTTGGTGCTGCCCGAGCAAGGTTTTTCTCACGTTGTCGGTCTTTGGACCGATCTTTTCGAAGTTCATCTCTTTCAGCCACTTCTTCATCTTTCTCCTCACGACGAATGCCAACCCGTTCCTCACGGGCTTTTTGAGCTAACAATCTCAGGTTACCCTCTTTCTTTTCTTTCTCCTTCTGGGCCATCTTTTTCTCAATCTGAGCTCTCATTTCAACAGCCTCACGCGCTTTTCTGTCAGCAATGTACAGAGCTTCTGCTAGTTTTGCAAAATTTTCATTGATGTGTACCCCTTGGAGGCCACGACCGTCAGCTGCTAGACGTTTGTCCAGAGGAATTGTATATCCTTTGGCGTTCTTCCAGTTTGAAATACAGGGAGGAATTTTCCATTCTTGTTGTTCTTTGACTGTCACTTTTCTATTTGGTGAATGCAGGACAGGTGCGGGTGGGGAAGGAGGACCGCGGGGGATTTTCTTGTTTACTTTGAATCGTGCTGGTTCCATTGGGTCTTTTTGTACGTCAACCATCCGAATAATTCTTTGTTTTGCTCCAGAATTATACGATACACCCTGTTGAGATGGTGTGTAGCGGATATATTGAGCAGGAGCCAGTTTATCTGCGTGTCGCACAGGCATTGCAGCAGACATTTTACTAGACACGATCTTTTCGAGGGCCTGGCGTGTTTTTTCTGTAGTCTCCTTAGTTTTTTCTTCATTTGGTCGCTCCAACTCTGGGTCTTCATCGTCGATTAATTTTGGTACAAGATCTTGAAATTTGGAGTGCACAACTTTGTCTTTCCCGTGTCCTTGTCTTGCGATTGCATCATATTTTATTTTCCCCTGGGAATCTAGCTGTACGGCTAAAGAGTTCGAATTAGATTTTTTAAGGCCCATACCTAGGGGATACTGAGCCACATGAACTTCCGGGAAAGCCCCGCCATCTCCGTAATCCTCTTGTGTACGTGGTATCCAACCTTTCCTGTGTCCGTACGGAGGAGCTGAACGCACACTTTTCACAGATATTTGTTGCATATAATGCCTTTGTCGTTCTTCTTCTTCATCTTCGCGATCGTACACTCGCTGTGATGGCTGAGGTAAAAACTGCGTTAATCCAGCCATTTTCGTAGGCACAACTAAGTCAAAATTAATACTGCACAATGCTTGTTTTCAATATGGCAACTATATAATTCGCCAAGTCTCGCGAGATCTTGAGCGTTAGGCGATTGTTTTCTAGTTTTCGCCAATACGTAAAAATAAAAACGCTTTCTTATAAGGCAAAATATAAATATGTATAATTTAAAAATAAACAGAGATTTTATAAGTCTAAACCTTTGCAGAATTCGGTGATTTATCTTACTGTTTACGTTTAAATCCGAAGCTACCAGTAAACAACATGGCGGCTGCGTTGTTGTCGTTGGTATGGCAATATTTATTATTTGTTATGATCTTTTCTTCTAAATTGATGATGACATGTTTGTAATACATACAAGACTTAATGGTTTTACAGGAATTATCAAATAGTTAATACATACACTCACAGAAACTATAGTAGTTTTGCTAAGTCATTATTTTTGTGATATATAAATTCAGTAACGGCCGTTGTTAGGGAAACTTCACCCTAACAACATGATGGCGTACGTCTCTTCTTTTAAGTTAAAGAAGATATTATTTTGCGGATTTCTCCAGTTTTCGTGGTATATCTCTCAGCAATTGGTCAGAATTTGATGCAGCCATAATCAAAAGGACCTGACTTAATAGGTTGCAGTCTTTTTCGTGATTACTGTTTCTATTTTGGTATGTTTCAACAATTGTTATTGCTAATATTAATTAATTTAACTAATAAATAACACTTTGACTTTACCTTTCCAAATGCTTTTTTTTCACAGGGTTTAAAAGTGAATGGAGAATATTAATGGAAAAAAGAGTAAAATTAACTTTTTCACACTTTTATCGTAGAATATATCAGTTCCTAAAATTCTAAAATTAAAAAAATGAAAGCGAAAATGTTTTTTGTTTTTAAAAAGTTTTTCTCAGCATAAAAACATTTCTTTGTTAACAGCTTCAAGCAAGTGAGTTAGGTAAAACATTTAACATTAAGATTATTTCTCTGTTTATTATTTTCAGGTATAGACAAAATATCAATAACTAATTCAATAAATTCAGTTTGATCTTTTTTTTTCTTTAACGATTTAAAAGCCAATGGCCTACAATACATTCTAAAATTTAACAAAGAAAAACAACGAAATTTTTTTATTCTTTCATATTTAATTTAACATCCATTTTTAAAAACAAATATCAGTTACATTGAAAATAAATTAATTTTTATTTTTTTTACTCTTAATTTTCACGGTGGCTTATTTTAGTTTAAAGGATTCCGATCTTTCATGTTTAGTTTAATAATAAAGTTTTAAAGTAAAAAGAAAAAAAAGATAATCAGATACCTTCTTTTTTCTAAATGTATTTTTATTAAATAAGTAAGTAAAAAGGGTTGAGTTTTGAAGGGATAATCGATCAGTATTTTTTCATTCAGTTTAAAAGTTTGAACCAACTGCTTGATTTTTCAAAAATATATTTAATTTTTGTAGTGTAAATTTAGACTACATTATGAAAAATTAAATACACTGTTAGTGTTGAATGTAAACTTTCACTACATTATGAAAAATTACACTGTGTTTTACACTGTACTTTTTTAATGTATTGTAGTGTAAGTTTTAGTGTATTTAATTTTTGAAAAATCAAGCAGTACACTACATTATGAAAAATTAAATAAATTACACTGTGTGTAAGTTTACATTGAACAATTATACTGTAGTGTAAATTATGCTGCTATCTTTTTCAGATTTCATGGTTTCTTTTAATAATATTTATAAATTATTTAATTTATAGATTTTTAACACTAAATGTTCTGACACACGCAATGCAATGACTGCAATTCATGTTTTCAATATTTCTTCAAATATTACTGATTTTATTATTAATAAGCAAAGTTTTTTTAATGCTATGTTATTTAATTTTTATTTTTCGTGAATCGCTACTAAAATACTAGCTATTCAATTAAACAGTTAAAATAAAAAAAGGTAATCGATATGCATTGTTCATTGCTTTGAATTTCAGTGCCGCACTAGAAAAGTAACCTATCAAGATTTTAAGGAACTGTCGAATTTTTTAAAAAAGTACAGCTTTTGACTTCCTTTTTTTATTTTTTATTTTTTTATTTATTTGAAATAGTGATTTTCTTGTATTTAAACAATAAAACTTGATAATCATATTATTTGTTCTGTGTGCTTTGTTTGATTATATTGTTGGAAGATATATCTGTCGTCATTGCTTTATGGATTGTTCGATTGTATTGTATTTTAGTTTCTTACAGGCAATAACAAAGGTTAAATATTTTATATTCGGATTTATTGTGTTACAATCAATATGATGATTATAAATAAGATTCTGGAATCTGTGTTTGTCGTTGTGACTGGTAGTGGTACTACTTGAGTTTGTAGCAGATTTTTTATTATTATCTTGTAGAAAATGAATTGTTTTTACTTTAAATTTAAAAAGGTTTACTGTTTACAAGTGAACATTATTTACTGTAGTGTAGTGGCTTATTTTATTTATTAAGTAAAACTGTAAACTATTAAAATTCAGTTGGTTATGTATATGTCTTCTTGTATCAGTATTATTTGAAGCTATGAATCATAAGTAACTATGTTCATAACTATCAGTGGTATTATTTTCAGGAATTCATTTATAAGTGCAGTGTAGTGTTGTATATGAAGGTAAAAAATAATTGTCATGATAGAATTATACTTCTGTATTCCTTTGACAAGAAATCAGAATGAGGAATTTTCTGATTATTGCTACTGTTTAAATTTTGACAATATTTTACTTAATTTTTATTTTAAACATTCTTAATATTATAACTGAATTGTGAAAGGTTTCAATCATTTGAAAGTTATTTTAACATAACGAACAACTTAATCTACCTACTGTGATTTTATCCTTTCCAAATACTTGTTATTCTCCATTGACTGTACCAATCTCCTTGATTTAAGGAAAAACATGAGATTTAATTTTTGCTTTTAATGTTTATTTCAAAATCTCGGAAATACTTTTATATTGCTATTTTAAAATGGATATGAAGATTAGGAAAAATTAATGGAACTTTTCAGTTATATGACTACATATATAATGCAAGTGAGGAGTTGTGCAATTTTAAACAGCTAGATTTTTTTTAATAATAAATAAATATTAATCTTAAAATTTAAATTATTCTATACAAACAATCTTCCCATGATCAACCTGCTTCAGCTAGTCTAGTTTCTATATAGGGTTAGGGTTCATCTAAAATAAGTAGTTATATAAATGAAAAGTGCCAAATTAATGTTCAGCCCTAAAGAAGAAAAAGGAAATATAAAGAGCTTCATAAAAAATAACATCTATGATTTTTTTCTGCAACAAATAAAGATAAAATATTACAACTCAGTTTCAAATAAAAACTAAGCAAGAATTTTTTAAGACAAAAGCAAGTTTAAAAATGATTACAATAATTGATACTTTTGATAAAGTATGCAAATTAAATTTTGTTTGGTGTGTTTTAGATGAAGCACAAAGAATTATAGCACATTTTGCTTATAAATTCCTATGCTATTTTGTTAATTTTTGTATCTTATAATTTAAAAAAATTATAAGGGAATTTTTATAGCTTGAAACTAATGTAGTATAGAATGCTGATGTAATAAAATTATACTGATGAAGTTGTGGAGAACCATGATTATGTATATGCTAAAAGGACATGGTACATATAGAGAGTCAGTCAAAAGTCAAGTGCCATATATGATACATGCTTGATGATCATGTCTCTTTCGATTCATGACTGACTAGGCAGAAGATTTTCCTGCATTAGGTTGCCACTTCTTTCTGCAGTAGACTGGTTGCCATTCAAGGTTATAGGGCTCAGTCTGTTCTGCTATTCACCCCATAACTGGAAGGAGAAGATATGGATTCATACCTTTCCTAAGGGTATTTGCATGTAAGTGAATATAATGTACACGATTTGAATTCAAACTCTGCTCTCTGATTTCTCATTCTAAGCTGTTATCCATTATACTATTTGCACATTCACAGACTATTGCTACGACTACCAATAACAATGTTTTAAATGGAATATGATTAATAACTGGAATATGGAAAACTATTGGAGTAATACAAACCAGTGAGTTACTGAATCCGGCACGAATAAAGAGAAAAAAGTAGAAAAAACTGAAAGATTTTATATTTAATTCATAAAACATTTAACTGCTTATCAGTTTGATATTTAATGTCTAAAACAAAAGTGACCAAGACAAAAATCTGTTCACTTATCATCAGCTGGATTTCATATTTTTGTTTGTGATGGTCAACACCTTTGGAATCCATTATTTTTAACATCGATGCGTAATTTTGTTGGTCACATGAACATTTTTCTTGCTGTACTTTGTTAGTTAAGATAGTAGTGAGTTTATCACCAGCTCCAGTCAATGCAAATATTCATGTACAGTTATAAAACAATATATCAAATCTTAATTTCCAAGTTGCCATTATACAATCTGTACATTTATGTCCCTTGTGAAATAGTGTGAATATCTATTTATCTACCTAGTTTATAATTACTCATTTGTCTGTTTGTCTGACTAATTCAGTTGGTATATGCTAGTTATTTAGAAGTTAATTAATTTTAGAAAGGGATTTCAAATTTGACTGACTAAAAATCATTCACATGTTGAAACTTTACTGTCATCAGATTTTCACTTCTGAAATGAAATATTTAACACCTGACAGTAAATGTACATTTAAAAAAATTCAATACATTAAAAACATTGAAACAATCTGTAGAACAATGTACTAAAGTAAGATTCAATGCTGATTCCAAAGCCTGGAATTGAACATAAGAACCTTTAGATCTTCTGTTTAACACTCTCCTAACTAAACTATTTTTGCTTATTAGCAACAACCTGTCTACTTCTCTTGTCTATCTTTATAATATAAACTTGTTTGTGAGATCAGTTTTAACTGTTGAAAAAATTAATCCTCTCATGTACATTCGTACCTGAAAAAATTTAACTGCAGTCAAAAATTGTAATGATAAAAGAAATGTGTAAAGATCTGTTTGTTATGCTGAAAGTATTTGATGGGAAATTAAATTCTTTTATTCTCAAGTTTCACTTCTGATTTTCAGGCCTTAAAATGTTGAATAAAAAAAATATCAGCCAGCTTCTAATAAAGTTTTATATATATAAATTTTCATGAAAAAATAACTTACCAGTTTTAGAATTTTTATTATGACAAAGAGAAAATTAATTTTAACATTAAATATCTATGCATACGTATGTATGTGTGTTTTAAAAGGAGACAAAAGAAGGTGTCATTATTGTTTTTATGACTAATATTCATGTGGTTTTAGATTCTCAAAAAGACCCCCACCTCAGCTGACAGCAGAAGTTAAATCTTCTTTTGGTTCAAACTGGCTGTCAAGAAGATCTACTTTGTCAAGCTGATATTGATTACAGTTCAGTCAATTGAGACGTAAGCAAATCCTTTATTGTGTTTGATGCGTATTTTTGTATGAGGCCAACCAGTCAAAAGCCTCTTGTAAAAAGCTTTGTTCCAACAACCAAAGGAACTTCTCACTCTGCTCCTCCCTCCTACTCTCTTTTTCGTCATGTGGCTTCAAGATCTTCAAGTCAAACCAATTACTTTCAGGTGATTTGAGCCATGTTTTTATTTCCCCTGGATTAATTCTATATTTAGCTTGATGATCTGATGATAGTTTTGAAAGATTTAATGCTTTGCATCTTCACCTGTCAATAAATCATAAGTGGACATGCTACCCTCTCCTTATTGTCAGTAAGTGCAGTAAATGTTTATGGTAGGCCTTCCTCTGTCTCCTGGCTATAAGCACTATAACTAATGCTTGCATGCTCACATAACCGGAAATCAGTTGTTTGAATGGTACTTTTTTTTAATAATATTTCTAGGCGTTTTTGTTTTGACATTGTAGATAAATATAAAATATATTTTTTTCAAAACGATAAATTTATTTTTGTTTAATTGTTCTTTAAATTTCTTAATTGCAATTATTACGGCTTAGTAGTGAGATCGATCATCACTGGGTGTTCCACGCTTTCGGCCTTGTGCCACATCTAAGCTGTGCTTAGAAAATCATTTTTTGGCACCTCGGCGTGGTGTAAATGGTTAGCAAGCTTGTCTCGTTAGATCAGTTACGACTGAAAAGTGAATTCGATCCTCACTAGGTGCTCCATACTTTCGGCCTTGTGCCACATCTAAGCTACGCTTAGAAAATAACCTTTATTTACCATTTTTTATTATGTACTAATTTAACCATAAGTAATCGGTTAAAGGGAGGTAACTTTTAAGGGTATTAGCTATTACACCTTAGGTTATTAAAATCCATTGAAGCCCATTTGTTCTCCAAAAATGAAATTTTCTATATTTCATAGCAATGGTCAGATTATTTGTTAAATTTATAAAAATATTAGTCAATAGGTTATATGAGCTACAAAAGGTCAAATTTAAAGTTCACGGTCAATTTATCATTTTACATGTGAGATAAAAATACATTGAATAAGTTTTGAGTACTTTAAAATGATATATAATTTAGCTTTCTAGGTTTAATCAAATAGTCTTTATGTGTATTCTATTTATCATCATCATCATCATCATCATCCCCTTGACTCTTGTAATCATAGGGTGGATCTGAATGCAGAAACCACCCTAACTCTTTTCCACAACAGTCTATCAATGGCAGCCATAAGCAATTCTGGTGACTGCTGTTGATAGACTATTCTATTAATTTCAGTTAAATGATTATTGAAAAATGAGAGAATTCTCTAAAGAAAATGTTTCTAATTTTATGTTGTATCTTTTTGGGGATCTTTATTTCTTTGATAATTAGATACCTACTTGAACTTAGTTAAGTCTAGTGAAAGGTTATGTTACTAGAAAACTATAAATTGAACTCACTATTTTATGAAACTAAAAAGGCTAACGGTATAATGATATTGTCTTGTTTACAATGATTGCTGATCTGTTTTTTCTACTTTAAATGAGAAAGTAATTTCTTGCTTATATTGGGTAATATATAATTCATTGGTGCACTGTTATTTGCTCATCAAAGGGGTTAGATAGGAAATTGAATTTATTTACAGATATCCTACAGTTCTTAAAAGATGTTACTTAAATTTCTCTAAAAATATTTTTTTTTACATCAACTTATTTTAAATTTCTTCTTTCTTAAAGATGTTATTGCATGAAGTGATCTAATTTCAAATGGTGCAGTTTGTGTGTATTAGATCATTTTTATATAACAAAATTTTTTGTTAGGAATAGTAATGTGTGTAAAAAATATTTAAATAAAAATTTAAGTAAATGATTTATAGTTTATTGAATATTAAATATAATTGACTTCTCTAAATAAGATATTCAAATATTTAATTCTAAAGAATTACATGATATCTGTAAATAAATTCAATTTACTATATAACCCCCTGATGAATAGATACCAGTTCTGTGAAACTGAGTTGGCAAAATAAGCCTGAACATTTTACATTTTACTATATATATATATTATATATATATATATATATATATATATATATATATATATATATATAATGTACACACTAGAGTTCAAAAGTTTGAGTGAACCCCTGGTGATTTTTTTTAAATTGGCCCCAAAAGTAGTTGTTTTGTACTTTAAATAAGAGAAAATTATCATACATGGTTAAAAAAAGAAGTGAGACATGATTTTTATTAGAAATTTTATTATGACAAAAAGAAAAAAAACATTTTATGATTAAATTTTGCTCTCATTAAAATATTTTCCTTTAGCATTGATTACTCCAATGCAAACTTTTGGCATTCATTGCAAAAGTTTCTCAAAATATAAATTTGATAATTGATTCCATTCTTTTTTCAATGACTCTAAGAGCACTTTTTCACTTTTTTGGATGGAAAAGTTTCACTCTTCTGTCAAGTTCATCCCATGCAAATTCTGGGGTGGCTTCAAACTTTTGAACTGTAGTGTGTGTGTGTATATATATATATATATATATATATATATATATATATATATATTCTCAGGTGGGGTCTATCTATAGAAGATAAAAAAAATGAATAAAAAGAGACAAGAGGAAACTATACTTAGCCAACATGTTTTATCCTCTCAGGGACTTTATCAAGGCAATATAGGATTTATGCTGCATGTGTTTATATACACAGAGGTGAGGATGTCATTGGTTTATCAAGGCTTGTAAATTTGAAAAACATTCATGAAAGTTCATCAGGTGTTTGAAAGGTCACTCAACACATGCTGCATAATAAATCCTACATTACCTTGATAAAGTCCCTCAGAGGATGAAATATGTATCAGTTAAGTATAGTTTTCCTCTGGTTTCTTTTTATTCATATTTTTTATATATATATATATATATATATATATATATATATATATATTTCCAACACGTAACTGAATAGTTCTTGAACTATCCCATCTGACCAAATCTTAGAATTTATTTAGAAATCTTTTTGGGGTTTGGCTGAGAACCTTCAAGTTAAATAATATAAGCCTACTTTCTATACAAATAAAATGCTTTAGTACTGTGTTATCAAAAGCACCACATTGTTTTGTTTACTTTATATTCATGTTAAATTATTTCTTTCTTCTTTATAACATTGTCTAATGTTTATAATTGCAATGTTTAATTTTTGCTATGACATGAAGTAAGAAGAAAGTGAATTTTATGTTTCATTTGGCTTAAATTTTGTGACTGAGAAAGTTTTTATGTTTTGTTTACAGTGCATCTAAAAGATGGGTACCCTGTATGACTGCTTGCTGGAAGTGCACTTGGAGAAATACTACGAGACATTTTTGAACCATGGAATATCTAAAGCTGAGTCCTTACTTAAATTGACTCCTCGAGATTATGGTGTACTGGGACTCAATACAACTGAAGAGAGGCGTCGATTGTATGAGCTGATTAACTTGTTACGCACTGTCCTGAATCCTTCAAGTCATGTTGCCAGTGGTCCTACACGACAACGAAATGGGCGCAAGAGAATCCATAGTCCTGGTGATACTGTCAAGAAGGAATTTCCCTCAGCCCCACAGACTCCGCCACCACTCCAGAAGGATGCTAGGTCTCCTTGGTCTCCAGTGTTGCCTCATTGTGTTCCCATATCTTCAGGGGATACAAGTCACAGTCGAAGTAATCCAGAAATGACTACATATTCTAATTATATTGACACATCACGTAGTTCTCCACAAAGCCCGCTTTTTATTGAGAAAGTGAAATATCGGGCAGGCTACAACTATGGTGTCCCAAAAAGTAAGAAGAAAGGAAAAACAAGTAGCACAAGAGACATGCGAGATGAGAAGATCAAAGTGTGTGTGCGTAAGCGACCCATATTTGGGAAGAATGTAGTAGATGTTGTTGAAGTCCATGATGGACATACTGTGATAGTAAATGAAATGAAACTAACTGTAGATCTTACCTCATACATCTTACAGGTAACAACAAAAATCTTTTTTTATGTTGTGAATTTACTTCTTTATCTTATAATTAAGGTAAAAGGCAACTAACTTAATTAAACTTACTAATCCTTCTGGTTTCAATCTATGAATATTTGTGCATATATTATTTTTGTAATGCATAACGACACCAAATGAAGGGAATATAAGATTTACTTAGAAGCAATGTTACAAGATCAGTAAAAAAAAACTAAGTTAGCTTATTTGAAATCATTGATCTACAAACCAGTTTGTTTTTTTTATATATTCTCTGAAACAGATCACAGCAAAAACAGCCAACTTCATAAGAAGATGAAACAGTAAAAGTTGCATTTTAGGCATTTTCTTTTTTAAATTTACAGAATTACTAACTTTAAATAGAGGATTTGTGGTGAATAGTTATTATCATTGGCTAAAGATTGAAAAAACTTAAAATCTTCAAGAAATTTAGTTTATACCTGGAAAAACTGTATGAGATATTGATATTTACAAAGCTTAGTATTGAATAAGACCATAAGTGTGAGATGTGTACTCCTGATTAGACTTAACTCATTAGTAATGATCTGCATGACTGGTTTGCTGACCATTGTGTTATGGTAACACATACCTTTGTCTTGTTTAGATATTTTGATTATGTAGCATTGGAGATTAATTTCTAGATTTGACTGGAAGCAAAACCTTTTGAAAGAGAACAAGTCCCTTGTATGGAACAAATCGAAGAATTTCACTAATTTGTTATTGACATTAAAAAGGATAGAAATAAAAACTTATATTCAATTTTTTTTCTTGATTGGTATGAAGCAAAGTTGGTAATTGTTTTTAAAATAACATCCATTTTCTGATGTTGGGCCAGCTCTCAGGGATGATGATTAAATATGATTTATAATTTTCCTAAGTTCAGTATTTCTGTCAGTTTTGAATTTTGAAATTTTATTTGGTAAGTTGAGCAAAAAGTTTTACTTTTATTTCAGCACAAGTTTTACTTTGATGATGCATTTGGAGAACACTACAGCAATGAAGAAGTGTATTTACAAGCAGCCAAGCCATTGGTTGAATGGGTATTTGAAAAGCAAGTAGTTCTCCAATTATTTTGTCATCACATTAGCATCATTAAAATATAGCCTTGTTCTTTGGTTTGTTTTTAAGATGAATGAGTCATGTGCAGTGCAAACATTGTGTTACTGAATGAATATTTATAGTGCCAACATTTTTTCAACTTTCTTTAATGATATTTTATGCAATGATCTTACTCTGGCATGACAAGGATCTTTCAGTTTTCATCATTGTGATAATAAGTAATCATTTACTTTCTTAGAGACTTCCAACTCATATAGCTACCTGCATAGAAGGCTTATGCCTTATATCTGCCTATAAGATTGTTCTAAATATACATATACTCTTATTTTATTTTATTATGCAGATCAATATTTTCACAATAAAATTAATTAAAATTGATTAACCAATCAATATTGTTACACTTTTCAGGATATGATTATATGATAAATCTACCATGTCAATTTTACTTTAAAAAATCTCTTTTTATTCAAAATATTTTGTGACTTTATTTAGTGGTGTGACCTTCTTTTCTTATAATTCACCCCAGAAATTTCAACTTTCTCTTTCTGATTGTAAGTATCAGTTTCCTTGTAGTTCTTATGCAAGTCATAGGTTGTTTATCATATTGTAAATAAATGTATATAATAGTATAGTTATTATTTTTTTATTTTCAAATATATAAAGATTGTCATGCATCATAAGAAAGATATAACCTGAAATGAGAAACAAGATATTGTAAAGTTACTGATTGACAAGAAAGCAACATTAGAATTGTGAATAAGTTGAACTGTGATCATAGAACAATAAAGAGAAAGAAAAACAAACATTGTTAAGATGAAAATAAGAAAACAATCAGTTTTAAGAATGTCACAAAAAGGGATTTGAGAAAAAATAAAAGGGGAATGGAGTAAAAAAAGTGAATTGCTGAGAAAATATTTAAAGAAGCTGATGGTGTAAATGTACAAATGAGAAAAAATGGAAAAACTTAAAAAATGAATGCAACCAAACTACTACTTTTAAGTAAATATCACAAAAAGAAACATGTAAATTGGGTGAAGAAGTATGTGAAAACTGATTTCTTAACAGCATTTTTAGTGATTAATGTAGAGTTATATTGGATGGCCCTGATGGCTGGGTTAAAAATTGCATCTATAGTGGAAATAGTCAACCAACAAAATTTAGAAGACCAGAGTTTTAGGTTTGAGTAATATTTTGGGCTAGTAATTTAGACATTAAAATTATAGATCCCCTTAATGGTATGAAGAAAAATGCAGAGAATTATTGTAAGTTCTTGGACCAGATGTTTTTTGAGTAGTACACATTAAAACCAAGAAGCTTTAAGCTAAAGAGGATATACTTACAAAATAATGTTCCTTTACATTATGTAAAGCTTACTATTTGTAACCATATCTAAAAAGGTTTCAAAGATATCAAATTAATGGAATGGTCTCCAGCCTTTCCAGATATTAATTCAATAGAAAATTTATGATCCTTCATGAGAAATGATGTATATAAGAATGGTAAACAATATTGGAACAAAGATATTTGGTGCAAGTAATGTTCAAGTTGAAACAGTAGAAAAGTTATTAAAACAATGAATGAAAGACTGTAAAAGGTTATAGAAATGTCAAGGAGTCCATATTAACATGTAAAATAATAAAATAATTAATTCAAGTCTATCGGATACTGTATTAATCAAATTCCAAAAATCTTACCAATATCAGTTGGATAATACCAATTTTATTGTGGAAACATTGACGTGCATAATAAAATTTGACATAATCTAGAACAATAATATAGTCTTAATAATTCTCTTGGATAAAGAGTATTTTCACCTCAGCATTCAGGCTTCCATATTATCTTTAATTTAGAAATGATTGATGTATTGAATGGTACAACAGATACACCAGGAACTGAGTTGACATATGTATTCTTCTTTTCAGAACATGAGTGATCTTGATTCTCTACAACTTTCCTGTCTTTTGTTGTTCTAAGTAATTTTTTGCTCCTTTACTATTCCTCTATGTCTTTGTTTTGTCATCCATTTAGTAAAACTCATTAAATACATTACTCATTGTTTCCCTGTACTGCTCTTATCTTCTTTATGTCCTGTGAGTATTAAATTCTGTAGACCCTCTTTCCTTATAATTCATCCCAGAAATTTCAACTTTCTCTTTCTGATTGTAAGTATCAGGTTCCTTGTAGTTTTTTTTCTTTAAAAACTCTCTCATTACTCACATGTTCAGTTCATGGTATTCTCAGTATTTGTCATTTCTGTCACTTCAAGTTTCTTCTTCATATGTGAGGAGATTGTCCAGCATTCACTGCTATTCAAATTGAAACTATAAATGGAGGAATAACTAAGACATCTGGATTTCACTCAGGATATTTCTGTCATGTAATTCTGTAGATATATAAAAGACTTAGCATGATTTAATTCATTAATTTACTCATTTAATTAATTATCAATATTTGCTAATGTTTTTATTAACCACATTGTGTACACACACACACACACACACACACACACACACACACACACACACACACACACACACACTTTCCTGTTATATTTTTAATGTATATAAGCAACATGAAAATAATAAGTAGTCTATTGTCAGAATTGTAAAATTACACTTCCTTCTCCTCTACAGGAATGTTTTCTTTTGAAAATATTGCCATGTTCTTTTCTATTTCAAACAAAATATAAATTTTAATTTGTTTTTTAGAAAAATAAATGCAAATTTTATTGCCCATGGTTTTTGCATAAGTATTTATGCAAATCTGATTAAAGGTTCAAATGGAAATTTACATGGTTAGTTTTATTGATCATCACAACACACACACATATACACACACTTGTTTTTGAAGGTGTATATGTAGAAATATGACTCAAAAGGCAAAGAGAAAAACATTGTTGCAAGTTGATAGGAAAATCCAGAGTGTTTTTGAGTGAGAAAGTTATCTAACATGGCATGAAATATAATGAACTATCATTTTAAATTCTTTTAATTTTTTTGAGGGAGTGAAGAGATTTGCATTCAGAATATGAACTGTAAAACAGATCCTGGTTCTCTCATATTGTTTACATCAGAAAATACAGCCCTCAGGCCATATGTGGCCCACAAGATTTTTTTGTGTTCATAAGAATAAATTTGGCAACTGATCACATGCAAAAAATTCAGTTTTGTGGAAGTCTGACTTTATTCAACCAATATTTCAATATCTCAATGTATTTAATTAATTCTTTTAACTCTTCATACAAAAGCAAAAACAAAGAATTTTCACATCATCTCCCTCTCTCTCTGTATCTCTTTGTATCAATCATATTACTCAGTAATTTACTCTAAGTATTCACTCTTGCAACCCACAGCTAATTTTCTGCAATGTGGCCTTTCACATTTTTAAAAATTGTGCAGGCCTAACTTACAGCATGGTTCAAATTTGGTTCACACTTTTATTGAGGAATAAATTGTTTTATTTATTTCTCTAAATAAAAGTATATTCTAATGACAATGACACTTTCAATCATTTTATCTTTGATATTATCTAGGAAATCAACAAGGTGGTGCTGAAAAATTCTTGGCTGGACCCTCTTTATAAAATATGACCAAATACCAGAATTTTCATGGAGAATCCTTTCTTGGTCAGGCTAAGAACTTTTCAGCATCTCCTCATGTATGCATGCACATAATATTTATTTTTTTTTATATTTTGTTCATCATATAATATTAGTATTTATAGTAACTTTTTCATTCATATTAAGATTATATATTATTTATAATCATTAAACATATCATTTTTTTGAGAATATAGGAGATAACATTTTATAAAGAGAATAGAAAATATGAAATAATTTCTTTGATAGTATCATTTATTTTTAGTTTCATTATTCAGCCTCAAATATGAGTAAAATAAGTTTTGATTATTATTATTAATTTTTGACTTGTCTTTTGTTTATCTGAATTTCTTTTGTTTGTTTATTTTCTTATCATGACTCATAATTAACTTGATTGATATTGGTTCTTTATTATCTTAAAATTTAAAGAATTTGTCTCAGAAAGATTAAATATACACTTTGAAAAAATTATATTATTGTCATTTCTTTAAAAAACATTTTTGAAAAATGATAGAAAAATATGATGTAAGATAACTGGATCAGCATTACACTTTATAATATAGGAGAAAATCATATATAAATTTTTATATACTAGAACAATGTTAGAAAAATTAATGACAAAATGGAAATTTTTTTCTTTCTTGGCAGCTCTTCTATTATCACAATGTGGGATACTTTATAATAAAAGTGATAAAAACAAAAAGAAACTAAACAAAATTAGCTAGACTGTATATACAGACACATTAAGGGAAAAAATTTTAAATTTCAAAATTTCAGCATTCCAATATTTTCAGTGTTTGCTATTTAGGCATAATTTTAACCAATATATATCAGCAAAAAAATGACTTTAATCTGAAGTTCTAAGCACAAAACACATTGCACAAATTTTTTTCCAGTTTGTCATTAATTTTCTTAACTTTAAGATACTAAATTGTAACTTGTGTATATTTTACAATTTTATAATATGTATGCACACACACACACACACACACACATATATATATATATATATATATATATATATATATATATATATATATATATATGAGAAAGAGAGAAAACGTGGGCATCCATTTATCTTGTGAGATAATGGTTTTCAGCTACTAGAGTTGATGCCTGTGCATTTCTAGTCTCTCTTGCAAATGTCTTTGAAATGTAATGTGGGGTACCCACCAGATGGTGTCCCATGACCAGCTCACCATACATGATATCTTTTGGCATACAATCGTCATTCATATGATGTATATGGCCCAGCCATCGAAGATGATGTTGACACAAGAGAAGATGCAGTTGTCTGTTCGCTCCAGCACAGCAGTGTTGGTAACTTTGTTTCTCCATGTGATGCTAAGGATATGTTTTAGGTAACAGAGATGGAAGCTTTCCAGGCATTTTTCCTACCAGATGTATGTTGTCCAGGTTTCACTGCTATAAAAGTGGAGTTCTAAGAACACATACCTGGAATAACTTTAGTTTGGTGCACAAGGTCAGATGGCTGTTGTTTCATACTCTCTTGCTCAATTTGTGCATCACTGCTGCTATTTTGGCAATGTGTTTATCAGTTTCACACACACACACACACACACACACACACACACACACACATATATATATATATATATATATATATATATATATATATATATATATAAATTCATAAAGTTTTTTGTGTCATGAATTGCATCCAGATTAAATTATTTCATAACTGAAAAATGATGCTGACTTCTTTTTCTTTTTCTTATAGGGGTCAGGCAACTATTTTTGCTTATGGCCAGACAGGGGCAGGTAAAACATTTACAATGATGGGATCTGGAGACATTCCTGGACTGTATCTATTGGCAGCTGAAGACATTTTCTCCATTATTGAGAGTGAAAGTTATGGCAGTGGCTTCCATGTTTGGTTGAGTTATTATGAAATTTACTGTGGCCAGCTGTTTGACCTGCTCAATGGCAAAAAAAGGTGAGAGAAACTGCAGATGTGGAGCTGTTTGCTTATAGGCAGGGAATTTGCATGGTGATACCAATGCTCTTGTTAATTGGGTACTAGTGAGGGAAAATGGTCTTGTATATAAATCCAGAAAAAATTTTGGCATCTAATTTTTGTTTGTCAGCATTCATTAGTCTTTCCTCTACACAGGACATTTGCAAAAATAGGGCAATATCAATTTTTTTTTTACCATTTTAGAAGTGGATTCTGTTGTAGAATTGTCCATTTTTTATTGGCTCAAAAGAAATCCCAACATGCATTTGTAGGATTTGTCTATAAATTTTGAGAGGGGAGATTTTTATCAGATATTCCTACAACTGAGTAGTGAGTTCAATATACTTTCAGCCTTGTTTCACATCTAAGATATGCTTAATAAATTGCCATTCTTATATATATATATATATATATATATATATATATATATACACACACACACAAATAAGAGAGAACAGATGGAGTAAAACTCCTCAGTTTGTAGCATTTACTTTTTTTTAAAAAAGTGCTCAATAGTAAGTAGGGCAAAATATTATAATATTTTTATTACAATAGAATATAATAAAAACATATTACATTGCTAATAAATATATATATATATATATATATATATATATATATATAAGTTCAAGAAAGTACGTTTGGATCACTAACACAAAAAAAAAAGAGAATGTCCTACATTGAGAATATTTAACATCAAAAAACATAAAGAAAAAAATGAATTATTTTTAATAATATGTGGAAATCTCTACCCTTTGCCTGATGACAGTCATGAGATTGGAAACATGTGTAGCAAAATTATGGAAAATAAAGCATAATATTTTTTAAAAAAATCCACATTACAACCAAAAATGTTTGCAGTTTCTCTCTTCTTTTTAATATACATAATATTTTATATATATATATTAGGATATTACACCGAAAATGCCAAAATCACTACACATTTGCAATTGTTTTTTGATGCTTACTGGTGAATGAACGATTTATTTAGATTTAAAAACAAAATACAAGCTCTTTTTACAAAAAAAAGAAAAAAAAAGTGCGGGGTTATAAGGTTTGTGGGCTTTATTCTGATCAACCAATCAAATATGACTTAAGTAAAGAAACAAAAATTAAAAAATTATTTTTTATGAATGGGTCAAGACTCGTAGATTGGCAGCTAATGGCAGCCAGACATCAACTTAAGTGTAAGTGGATGCAAATGGTTACATAATAAATTATAAATTATTTTTATAGTTGATAAATAGCTTCTTTAAGAAATTAGTAAATAATTTAAACATAGAATTATTTGGTAAATTAATATGCACCTGTTGAATAAAGATTCTTCATATATAGATATGGATCCATATCTAAAGATAACATAAGTCAAGTGAAGCGTTTGTCTGGCCCACACCAAGTGGGGTTAGGGATAAAGAATTGAAATGGTACATCTAACTCACTCATGTCTTCCCCCTCCCCACTTCGTCTTCCCTCACTTCGTTACTTTTAATTTATATGCTTAATACGGCCCATCAAAAATGTGTAAATTTCTTTTCATTTTCATTTCAACCTTTAGAAGTAAAAGTCTGATGATCCGCAGTCCTTTAAAAGGGCTGTGGTGAAATAATTTATTACATGGAACCTTAAAGTGGTCTGTTTTTTATTCAAACATATTTGCTCTGAATTTACAGTGAGCTCTCCGGATATCATCCTCCTTGGGTCTACCCATACGAATTACCTAGTTTTGCATAAACTATATATATATATATATATATATATATATATATATATATATATATATATATATATATATATATATATATATATATATAATAAAAGCAAAACAACATTAAGACAGTAATAAAGTAAAAATTTCACAAAATAGGAATAGTGATTTATAAAATAAATACAGTATCAAATTAATTCCTGATTTTTTTAAAGAATTATCTTTAACTTGTTTTTATTTACAAATGTCAAATTTGAAACTGTACTTAAGTCATTTCATGCTACTGATGCAAAGAGTAAATTTAAATGCATGGGTTGCATTTATCTATGTTACTTTCCTATTTGGACAAATTTGTGCTGAATGTATAATATGCACATTCTCCACATGAATGCCATAATAATATCTTGGACCACATTGCCAAACTTTACAATAAATGTTAACTTTTATAAATTATAAATTTCATATATTTATAGGCATCACAAAATAGAAGAATTATAATGACTTAAAAAGACATTGTATAATTGTTTGCCAGAGAAAAGTTAGAATAAAATAAAGTACTCTAAACATGACTTTCAGTGCATGTTTTGTTTGTTCCTAATTTAGAAAGTTACATAAAAATGTATATATCCATTTGTTCTTCATTTAGTAAAACTCTGGCAAAAATGTTAAAAATATGTAAAAAAAAAAAATGATCTATTTTGTCAGAATTTTGTCAGATTTGATAAGAAAAATGCTTAATGGTAGAAGACATCTAAGATAAATATTTATTATCTCCTTATGTAAATAAAAACAAGGTTAAGATAACTCTTTAACAATCAAGGATCAATTTGATACTATTATATATCTATATATATGAAAAGGACCCTACTTCGAAATTGATAAAAGAATCAATATTGTTGGATTCTGCCAAATATTGTGGGTAGAGGAAAATCTAATGAATGCTAATCAAAACAAATTAGTCCCTAAAATAATTTTCCCTATTTTTTATGAATGAACCATTTTCCTTTAATAGTCGTGTTAATTGGATATTAAACTATACTCACATTATTATTCTTTCTTTCCTGTTTAGGATTGGGTTTTCAGTTCCTTTGCCTAAATTCTTCTCATTCACTTTCACTCCAGTAGCATCTTGTCTCTTAGTGGCATTATTGCTTTGTTTGGGGTGAAATTATTTAAAAAAATGTGCATGATGACAGGGAAATAATTGACACATATTTGTTGGACTGGCACAAAGCTACACATACAAAGTACAGCTAATGAGGATTAGACTGACTGACTGACTGACTGAATGGCTTACTTTAACTCTTGCACTATCATTGAGGATGTGTGCGTGTGTGTGTGAAGAATTACAGAAACAATTACGGAAAAGAAATATTCCTTTCTAATTTGCTTTTACCTTTAATTTGCTTAGGATAGAAGTCCATATTTAAAGAATTCTGCCTATTATTTAGGTAGCTGGGAGTGAAACAATGTCACCTTTTCTCATCATTATATTGTTAACATTTTTATTGACATAAATCTGATACCTTAGTGTTTTTCTCAGAGAACGTGGTAAATGTTATTAACAGCTTTCTTGTCAGGACTTGTACATACAAATTTCATTTGAAATATAAGAACTGAAAGAAAGTTTGGTCAAAAGGAAAATGATATATAATGAAAGAATGATTCATAAGCTTCAACATAATAATTTATCTCTTTAAACTCTTAAATTCAAAGCATAAATGATTGGAATATATACTGTAATATACAGCTTACATGAAGTATAGTATGTCAGTGATCTATTATAATATTTTTTATATTATTGGCCCTTGTCATGGAAGATGCTGCTACTACCTGAGAATGGTTTGCTGAGGTGTTCACTCACCTACTCTCTTCTCTGTCAATGAGTATGATATGCTCGTGTCAAGACACTTTGTCAAGTTATCTGGCAACAGAATAGAATACAGGGAGAAGTGGATTTATGCTTTTTTAAAGGACAGAAGCAGCCTTAGCCAAAATTTGAACTAAGTTTCCTGATTCCATTTATTTGTGTTGGTAACTGTTGTGCCCTCCCATATCTACATAATTCGACTATGACCACACACACACAAGAAAAATATTAAACAATAGGAAAACATTAAATGATAATAATTCTATATCACATTAGAGATAAAAATAAATAAAATCTATAAAGGATATTTTTGTACATCAAGAAACACTGACCATAAATGTCCAATGTGTGTTTTGCAAGACAGACATACTTGATTAACGCAGATAAAAAGAAGTTTATTCAAAAATGAAAATTAAGCATTAGAAGTATATGATAAAAATATGGCTGTTAAAACAATGAAGACTATAATAAATTTGTCCATGGAGATGTAAGTGACTTAAAATGTCAGATGAAATAAGCAAACCTCCTCTTTAAACTGGCAAATGAATTAAAAAGTCATTTATAATCATTCATGGCAATAAAATGAGAGAAACTAAATTTTTGTTCATAAATATATAAACAGCAAAGTTTACACACAAATACACACAGTAAGACAGACTTCTATTAAAACTATTTTTTTTTGTGATGTATGTCTGTATGCTTGGCTTTATAGTTGATAATATTTGATAAATTACTGGATTATTTTCTGTTGAGAAATGGCTAATGTTTATTTTTCAACTGAAAATTCTTAAGAGATGTTGACACCTGCTACCATTTACAAAACAAAGAACTGATACTGAGTCAAAATTAGAACCAAAGCTGAGAAAGAGGATTTTACACTGCTATTTTAATAGTAAAATCAATCTCACTTTTGTGTCTCCTTGATTGCTTTTATGAATCCTTTAGTCTTAGAAATTTTTAACTAAAACAAAAGTTAATTTGAATGAAGAAAAAAAAATTCTACCTTAGATTGTGTAGAATTTCTTCATAAGTTTATATTGTGAGTAAGTTTTGAATATTTCTGTTGTAGATGTCAGTATTGACTTTGTTGCTTGTATACAAATTTTGTGCTCCATTTGTAAATATTCTTGCATCATTGTTTCTCATTCACATACACTTACAACAAATAATGATTGTTCTTTTCTTACTTTTTATGGTCCTCCTGCAAACAAGATGCATTCTTCCAAATGTGGACCAATTAACCTGTAAATATATGAAAATTAGCAAAATATATCCAACAAAGAAGCTTGTCTCCTCTTTTCTCATGAACTCATTATAAGAATGTATTATTGCCTATTCCCAAGTCAGTAAGTCTTAATTTAGTCTTGAATGGATTAAGATTGATTGATATCCTTCACACAAAATCTATTTTTCAGTTTTCCTACAGACCTTCTCTAAAGTTAGCACCCAATTCACTTACAAGAAACAAAACCTCCAGGACTGACTTCATTACAGACTAAATATAAATTGCACTTAATGCATATGAGTTTTTTAAATGCTTGTTAAAACTAAAGATCTTATCCTTTTATTACCATTAGGTTGCATGCTCGGGAAGATAGCAGTCATAAAGTCTGTATTTCTGGACTGACAGAAACACAAGTGCCAGATGTCAGCTCCTTAATGCAGGTAAAAAGTGTGTTTTTAGTATAATTGGTGCAATTATGCTTAGAGTTATAACATTGTCAAACTAAGGTCACCAGGTGTGCAAAGGAAGTATTCTGCGTGTGTGTATATATTCTTTATATATACAAAGTATTAATCCCTCCAGTGTATTCAGTTTTTATGATGAGATTACTTTGATCAGTGAAAAGCAATTTTTATTGACTCTTAAGTAATTTTGTGTAAGACAGTTCTTTTAAAATAAGTAATCATATCATTCTAGAATTTTTCCATTTTATATGGCAGACCAAACAATATTCTTTTTAAAAATCCATAGATTACATAAAAAGACAAAAAACTTAACTTCAAGTGATAAAAAGAAAACTTGTTACAAGTTTTTTCTTAATATAATTTGTTTGTTTATAAATTTCAATTTACATCATAACTAGCAGCAAACTATATTTGTATAATAAAATTAGATACACATTCTAATATAAGGTTTTCTGAAGATAACTTATATTTAGAATTTACCGAAGTTATGATAAATACAAATAGTAAATACAAATATAAATTTGATAAAATAAAATTACATTTGAGGAAAATGTGGTATTTATATATTTTTATTTTTTCACAATTTATATTCAGACTATAGTCCTCATCTTTGTTAGTCCTTCAACTTTGTTGTTGTTATTCTAAATTAACTTTATTTAATCTATTCCTCCACTTCCCATATACAGATAGTTCATCCTGTTCTTATTTTTTAGTACTGCTCAGTCACTGACAAATTTTATTAGAAACATGAAAGATATCATCTACACTTAAAAATATGTTTTCCTGGCTTTTATTTTTCATAAATCCTTTTTGATCTTTCTAGGGTAACAATGCTTGTCGCAGTAAAGGGCCAAATTCTGAAATTAACAACCTTTATTTAATATGTTGGTCGGTGAGTAATTTCAATTTTATATTTCTTATATGTTCCTTGAAAAAACTTTACATCTTAGGCACCATATATTTTACCCATGAAATATTTTCTTTACGTAATAGTTTTTCTTTCCTATTTTATTTTTTTTTAGAATATATATATATATATATATATATATATATATATCACTGTTTAAAACCCTTGTTTTTTATCATATGGAAAAACATGGGCGTAAACGAAAAGCAAAAATCATCATTTTAAACACATAGAATGTAAAAAGTGTTTTCCTGAATTTTCCTGTCGAAAATGATAATATCAAGATGAAATGAAAAATACAATTTTAACATTTTCGATCAGTAAATCTGGACCTTTTGAACGATCAGACGGCTATTTTGCATGGAATTATTTTAATCTTCGATTTGGCTGTGGAAAATGTACTCGGCGGTTAGCTTAGCACAATTTTCTGAGAAAAATCCCCTTTTTTTAATGAAAAAATATTAGGCAAAATAACATCATTCAAAATTCATTCCTTTCTTTTCATTTGGCATGAACATCATTGAATAAAAAAGAAAGGCTAAATGGACCGGCGATGGGAAATACAAAAGATATGCGGCGAAAAAAAAAATGTTGTCTGTCTGCTAAGTGTTGTCATCACCCGGGTCACGGGGTGTTAAAAAACAAACAAAACTTATCAAGCCATTGTTCAAACATAGGTTATATGAAGCCCTAGTAATTGTGAACCCTTTTTATTCACCCCTTTGCTTTTATCTAGGAGTGGTGGGTTTTATTACAACTTGTTCTAAGGTTTGCCGTCCGTCATGCTTGCTGGCTGGTTGGCTGGCCTTTGACCAACTGTCAATTAGGTTTATTTTCCTTATCACTATTTTTAGGAAAAAAAAAAAACTTTTGGTTTCTGGTGGTTAGGAATTGCAGATAAATCTCTTGCCTTTTACTGATTCCATGGATGAAAATTGTTGGTCATTTTTGTAGGAAGATTTCCTTCAAAACTCTAATTTTATGCCTGAAATAGTTTGATTATGATCTAGGCTTTCTTATTTTCAAAAAAAAAAAAAAAAAAAATAATTTCCATTAATGGGGGAAATATTTGAAAAAAACACATTTTACCCACTGAAAAAATTTTTGAGTCATTTACTAATTTTCTTTTTAAATGAAAGGCAGAAAATACCATCAATAGTTTTTTATTCATTTAGGTGATGATAAAAGTCATTTTCAATATTTTTAAAAAAAAGTATGAAAAATATTTTGAGAGAAATAAGCTGTGACAAAAATGACTTTTTATTTTGTGATTTTATATTTTTTATACTTTTATTTTTTATATCTGTGAAACCCTCAAACAGCTGTGATATATATATATATATATATATATATATATATATATATATATATTCAAATGTAAAGGGATCAAAATGAATATAAATTTAAAACGTTCATAACATTAATTTAAAAGAGAGCTTTGACAGACAGAATTGAGAAAGTTCGTAATAAACCTTTGTTTATTAGTGTTGTGGGGTAGCCTCGTTTTTTGAGAGTTTTATGTAGTTCTTCTAAGCGGATTTTTTGGAGATGTTTATCAGTCACTATTGTACAAATTCTACGTGCTAGGGAATAGGGGATGGATTTTAGGTAGCTTTTTGGGTGATGGCTCTTGAAATGAAGGTATTGTTGGGTGTCTGTGGGTTTTATGTAGATATCTGTGATTATGTGGTTGTTTTTATTTCTAATGAGTATATCTAAAATGGTAATTCAATGAAATTATATTCTTGCGTGAATTTGATTTTTTTGTAAATTTTTGAAGTTTATATATATATATATATATATATATATATATATATATATATAATTGTGAAGAGTTTGTCTGTTAACTATATATGGCCAAACCATTTTATATACAGATATGTATACTTATTAGACCCAGGGGAAAGTGTTATTGTAAAAAAGAATTTTCTTCATTGAGGAAAAAAGGTTCCTACATTTTTTTTTGTTATTTAGATTTATCTTTAACAATCACCATTTTTAACCATTCACTGTCAAACTGCCATATCCTTTTTATTACTAATGTTGGGAAAGAAAAACATTTATATACTTTAGAAAAGCAATTCTATTGAGCAGTTATCCACCAAATATATTTTCTACTTTTCATTGTATTTTTCTCATTGGAGAATTATCAGAAACATTTCTTAGAAGAGATTTCATTTGTTTTATTTTGGTATAAAATGTTTTCTTTAGTAAATTTAATTCTTCTTTGTTTTATTAAACAAACTAGCTCACCATCAGTACTAAGAAAAGACTTTTACTTCCATTATAAACACTCTTGAACTTTTACCCAGTTTAGACAGATATCTCAACTAGATTATTTTTTTATTTGTTTGTTTAATGGCATATCAACTATTTATGGGTCATGTAATGTCAAAATTTAATTTTCTTGTGAGCTTTGAAGTAATAAAAATATGCTATATGTTATTCTGCTTTCAGATGATTGATTCTGAGCTTTTGTGCATATACATGTTTATGTGTACATAATTACTAGTGGCAGTGTGTGTTTTATATTGTAGTTTAGTTGAAGTTATGTATTGGAATAGTTTGAGTTCTTTAAGAAATTGCAGGATATTATATGAATTAATGTCATGAAAGAGTTCTTTCATGCTGGTTGGTTGAATTGTATGCCTTCAACTACAGGTAGATGGTATTGTTGGTCATTTTGCTATAAATAGATATTTTTGGTAATTTTACTATAAATAGGTATTATTGTAATTTTTTTACATAAAAATGTATTATGGTATTTTTACTATAAAAATGTATTTTTATACTTTCATAGTGTTTTGATTTTGTTTGGGAGTTCACTATTTGCCCATAGCTGGGACCCTAACAGGTGCTACTACTCCTGAGTCAGGATAGACTTGGGAGCAACAGCAATTAAGAGGTGGTTTCACGCTACTCAAAACAACCAATCTCCTAATCAGAGGCTTTGCACCTCAGCTAGTAATTCTGTATTTGTTTATAATGCTTGATGAAATGTTCTCTTTGTTTATATCTGGAATTGGTTGGGTATGAAAAGTAGAGGTGGGGGTTTTAGATTATTTTTCTCAGCTAACTTCTTTCAGAAATTTATAGATTTAAACCTTTTCCAATGATATGGGCATCAGTCATCCATGATTTGTGTCTAAATGACTAATTAGTAACTCTCAGGTTATATCGTTTCCTGCAAGTAGAAAGTTCACATAGAAATATTTAACAAAATCAATTTTTTTATTTGTTAATCAGTAAATATAAATTTAACCAAATAGTTATTAAAAGAATTAAAATTATTGATTTTAAAAAGTTTAAAGGACTATTAAGAAATGTGGTGTTGGATGACTTTAGATTTATCATTTATGCTCAACAACATTTGCATTTGTCAGATTGTAATTCAACTTACAAATATTTTATAAAATGCAATTGTAATTTAAAAGGTAAATTGTTTCTTTATGTTTGAATTTTTAAAGGATCTCTTTTATTGATTTGGCTGGCAATGAACGAGCTGCTGATGTAAAAGATTCAGATAGACAATCACGGAAAGAAGGGGCTGAAATCAATCAAAGCCTTCTTGCTGTAAGTAGTACTTATTTGTTGAAATTACTTGTAATTAAATCTGTTTTTCAATTGTATATTTTCACATTTATTTATTTTACTTTGCAGCTTTAGAAGCATTTAAATTAACAATACACTGAAACTGAATTTCCAAAAAGGCTTGAATATTTTAAAGGAGAGAGAAATTATTGATCCTTGATTTATTTAAAATCCATAGTAACAGAAAAAATTATTAATTCCATAATGCTGCTTTTTATAGATATTAGTTTATTATTTAGAGTTTCTAAAGGAAAATTTTTAAATTAGCTTTCTTACCGTATATACTCGCAGATAGGTTGCACTTTTTTTACCAAAAATTTCACAAAATACTAGGAGTGCAACATATCCGCTCAACATAAATGTAAAACATCACAACTTTGTCATCATGATTTCTGAGAAATCAGAAATGATACCCATAAAGTAAACACTAAAGCTGTGATTTTTCTCCATATAGAAACAATTTATCTGTCATATATACTGACTCACTGATTTAAACTTAGATTCACATATCCACCACAAAAAAATAAAATTTGAAAATATTCATTGATCCATCAGTCACCATTTGCTCAGGGCTCTTGCACTAGATATAGAAACCCTGAACATGCATACATAAGTTAAAGAACCACGTGTAAAGAGAAAATAGTCCCATGATTCATTCTGCAAAATATATATATTTTGTCAAAAATACATTGGAAAATATAATTTAAAGAAATGAAATATATTCTTTATGAGATTTTCATTAATGGTTGTTTCATATAACATTAAAAGATGTTCTTAAGTGTTATTTACAAATAACAAAGTGCATGAATCTAATACCCAAAAAACGTTTGCACTATTTTGCATTGTGCAGTGATATGGTTGGTAGCCAAATTTATAGTTTATAATTTTAATTGTTGCAAACCCTAATCATGAGTAAAAGAAAGAGTTATGAAGCAGGTTTTAAATTAAAAGTACTAAATTATACAGAAGAACATGGAAATTGATCAGCAGAAATGAGAATGATGTTTGGCAGCAATGATTGTGAAGATCTGAAGAAGAATTCTTGGGATTCAGTTCTGAATGAATTTTAAAACGTTTTTCCTAAATGTCCTGTAACATTTTCTTCTGTAGTTATTTCCTTTTTTTTAGTCGAGTTGACTTTATATAAAAATAATGGTACAACAGTTACTTTCTTTTGTTTACATGATGATTGACGAAAAATGTTTTTAACTGCAAAAGTGTATTAATAATTGTAAGTTTTGAAATAAAGGTAGATATTTTATAATTCTTACGTTTAAAAATTGCTGTGTAACTCCCCTGATTATAGTGCAACCTATCTGTGAGTTAACAGTAAATCATCAATTATTAAGCCATAAAGTAGGGGTGCGACCTATCCGGTGGGGCGACCTATCCGTGAGTATATATGGTATATATTGTAAATATTATATTTTTTTAAAGACGAAACTATTAAAAATTAGCATAAAAGATTAAATTAAAAAAAATAATTTTGAAATGCCTAAATAATTTTGTATCGTCATTCAAATCTGTTTTTTTCGACCTTTTTGAAAGACGCATATTTTACATTAAAAATATTCTGAAATCTTAAGCAATTTTAAATGTAGGGGAGATAACCTATCACTGATATTTCTGTTTAGAGTTATTTCCCTTAAGTTTATTTGCTTTTCTAGTATCAAAATTATTTAATAAATAATTTAAAAAATAACGTTACTTACAATATAATTTTCATTGTAGACTTGGATGACTGACTTCATGCCTAAACAAATATTAGATTGGCCAAAATCTTTTCCAGTTTAAGTAAATTAAATATTTATTATTATTATTAAGTGAAAAATTAAAAGGCAACAGGGTTTATTATGACACTCAGTTATGTGCCATGTGTGATACATGCTTAGGCGATCATGTATCTTTTCGATGCGTGACTGACGAGGCAGATTTTTTTTCCCCGTAATAGGTTGCCATTTCTTTTTGCTGTAGACCAGTTGCCATCCAAGTTTATAGAACCCGATCTGTCCTGCTATTTATCTGTACCTGGGGAGAGAAGATGAAGATTTATACCTTTCCCAAGGGTATTAGCATGTAAGTGAATGTAATGGATTCGAACTAGGCTCTCTGATTCCTCAATCTGAGCCACTATCAATTACTCCACCGTATGACAACAAAAACAAAATCTTTATCATTTATTCCACTATTATCTGCCATTTTTGAGGCAACTTCATAATTCCATCCTCTCATAAATTTTTATCTTTCTCAACAAAGAACTACTTTAGGTGCCTTCTCCAGTTTTCAAGGGAATAGAAGTATTTTTCATTAAAAGAATTCCATAAAGACCAGAATAAATGGTAATCTGAAGGTGAAATATCAGTAATTCATGCAGATGAGTGAATACTTTTCAATTAATCTGTAACAGTTTTTGCCCTGTTACTGTAGACTAAGTGGCTATGATTAAATATAAATGGCAGAATTGCTCAACAGACAGAATTGAGAAAGTTTGTAATAAACAACTAGAATAGAAAAGAAAAGAGGGCAAAAACTAATAATATTTAGCAAGCAAACAATATATGCAAGACAAAGAAAAAATAAAAAGTTTTGTTGAATTGGTGTTGCCCCCCCAAAATGGAGATTCAGACAAGAGAGACCAGAAATGATTCAGGACTCTGATGAGACCAAGAAGTGACATACCTTATTAGTTAGGAAGAAATCCCAGCATGCATTTATGTGGTGCTGCTTATAAATTGGGGAGGTGTAAGTATTTTGTGGTCATTCCCAATAAAGATTGTCTTTTTGTTTTTGCAATGGTGATTGTAGTTTCAATTCCAAGTGCGAGTACATTTCTTTTGCAGACACTGATCTGAAAATAACAGGATTTTTTTAAGTACTTTTTGTAAGACTGATTCGATTTTAATATCATTTTGCATTGAAGTGACATTTTTTCTTACCCTGTCCTAATGGATGAAGAGGACATCAGCAGGTCTGTTAAAGCCTTCTTCACAAAAAAAAGGGTCCACCAGGTAACATGATCCCACCAAGGACTGGAGTTGCCACTGTTTCAGTTAGGTACACCACCTACGCCAACAATGTAATGAGCAATGCCGAGATCAATGAAGTCAGATGAGAAAACCAGATGTATAAAATGGTGACAAGATTAACTGATAGGTCTGTTAGCTTGTGGTTAGGTTTGTGGAAAGGTTACCTCTTCTGGACTCCATCAGTTAGATGGACAGGCTGTGCAAGATACTCAGTGTCTGGTTTGGTCCCAACCACCAGGTAGATAAGAATTGGTCGGAAGTACTGGAGAAGGTCATACCTGTGGTTAATTTGTGGCTGCAAAGTAATCTTTCCTTGAAGGGGAGAGTTGAGGTGCATGTTACATACATCTGTCACCACATTCTTTATTGTTTCTTAGTGCTGCCACTTCATCATGCACCACTCAAAATGATCATCTCCTCTGGGGCAGCAAAGCTCCCATGGTGTGTCATGAAGTCTGTTGCCTTCATCCCTCCAATAGTGATTTGGAATGACAGACATAGACATTTCAAGATACTTTATGACTACATTTCCTGTACTGGATGTGTACACAGGATGATGGGAATGGCACCTTCTAGAAGGAGGATGTCCAAACAGCTTTTCCATCTTTGAGGAGTTTGCACTTTGCTGAGGGGGAAGCCCACCTTTTGCCCCAAGGTGAGTTCATTGAAAGTTCTTTCTCAGATACAGGCTGGCCTCTCTAAGATCAAGCTGTCAAGAGAGGCATTATATAAAGTGTTGGGGGATTCACAATGATCTAATTGAGGTGTTTGTTCTGATGATTAGGGAATTTCACTCCATATGGCCTTGGATGCTTGGGTTGAAATGCTTCACTAACTATGAGGCTGATGATTTGGAATGCGCTCTGATTTGGCAAAAAGTCTCACACAACGTGGAATGAAAGAATCTATTGAGTATGCTTTCTTTCACTGCCTGTTTGTATGTCCACTGTGTGAGCTTATTGAAGGCTTCATAGTTTGCATGCTACATGGACAATTCTTTGCCCTCGATGTCAGTACTATTTGTAACAGTATGAGTTTCTTGGCAAACAGGAGGAAGCACTTTGTATTTGCTAGCCATGATGAGAATGGTATTATGGACAATGAAGATGAAAGCTGTTTATGTCTCTCTCTTCCCATCATATCGCTGCATTCATCAAGCATCAACTGAAGGTCAAAATCAGGGTTGAGAGGAAGAGACTCTCTTTCTTTGCTGAAAGGTAGCAGCACAACTGGTGTGTATAAATGGTGCTAACCTTGAGCTTTCTGATTGAAGGACTTGTACTTCTGGGAAAAATATGCCCACCCTACCCAGTTAGGCTAATGTAGAAGTTCCTGAAAATTGATTAACTTAGCTAAGGAATCAGTAGTCATTGTTCCTCTTTTAATTTGTTAGTCCCCAACATTTTCCTTTTTCATTTCAACTCCCAACCACTCTTTAGGTGACAGAAGTCATAGTTCTCGAGAACAGTAGGATCATTTCATGTTTTTATTTTATTTTTTTCTACACTTTCCCACCATACTTTTCGACCAGTTAACTTCCTTTTCTGCTACATTTAGCCATGAGGTGTGTCCCATACTAACATTTCACTGTATATTTTTTCATAATGTCATGGGGTTATTTATTATTATGTAAATAAAATCAGTATATTTTTATCTGTCTCTCCATATGTTTTGATGATCATGGTATGGATGTGCTTTTTCTATATAAATATGATATTGTGGTGAAAGATTTATTGTAAGTATGCTCGGGCCAGTGAATGCGACTAGTTAAGTTAAAGTTAGACCAATAATGACCAGCCTGCCCCACCACTCCTTTTCATCCTTGTTCCACATTTGTATTTTAATACAATAAATATTCATTCCCAATGAAGATTGGATTCAACAGTTACCAAGAGAATATGTGGTCTAGTGAGGGTACACAGATCTGGGGTTCATCCTTGAAAAAACAGGAACTTCATGTCACCCTGCAAAAACAGACATAGATTATGCAGATGACTTTGCATTGTTGTCAGACACGATTGACAAGGTTACCAAACTTGTTCATCTCATCAAAAAAGTGGCCAGCGAGATTGGTCTCTACATTAATGCTGGCAAAACAGAATTTGTCAGCTACACCCAAGAAGGAGAAATTAAGTTGAAAAACAGCAACAACATCAAGTCCGTTCAGGAACTTGTTTACCTCGACAGCAACATCCAGTCAACATAGAGAGACATCAAAATCTGCAAAGGCAAGGCCTGGGGTGTCCTTGATGGTCTGAGCACCATCTGGAAGTCCTCCCTCTCTGACAATCTTAAGAAGGACTTCTTTAAAGTGACAGTAGAATCTGTTTTGCTCTACTACTCAACAACATGGACACTGATGAAACACCAAGAAGCATCACTTGACGGAAAATACACAAGGATGTTATGAGTTGCATTGGACATTAGCTGGAAGAAACACCAAACAAAGAAATGCCTGTATGGACAACTCCCTCTTATCTCAGTTTTGCTAAGAGATACAAGGCTTTGGCTAGCTGGTCACTCCTGGAAAAGTAAGGCAAAAGATCAGCTGGAAGACCTCATCACATCTACATTGACCAACTTGTAGATGACTTTGGATGCCATCTGGAAGATCTGCTGACAACGATGTCTGACAGAGATGGTTGGAGAAATCGAATCAGGAGAATCCAAAAAGAATTCTTGACCTGATGATGATGATGAATAAGGGTACTCATAAAAGGAATATTTTCTTTTGCTTAACATTTTCAATGATTGCTGTTTTCAGGTTGTCTAATTGAAAGAATTACTTTATTTAGTTCTCCAGAAGGAGCTTATTGTAGAAGACTGTATTCTAATCCCATTTTATATATAGCATTACCTTTTTTTGGATGAATACCAGCCTTTGGTACTTTTTACTAGTAGTTCATTTTGCTTACCTCACAATCTCTTGCATTTTTGTTTATTTATAAATAATGTTTAATCAGTTGCTATCATCCTCAACTAATCAACCAAACTGGATTTTCATTCAGTAAATAATCTCTAGCATGAAATTTTTCAAACCACATTTGATATAGTTGTTTATTCATAATAAACTCTCTATAAAATGAGTGAATTATTTTCTCTGTGATTGTATTGCATTTTAATCTTTTCTTAAAATAAAAAAGCGTAATATGTAAAATGTTGTTTATCTTCTTCTATCTAAAAATATTAAAATCAACAAACAAAAATATGCCAATTTTGAAAATTATTTAAAAAATGCACACTGATACAATAATACAACCAAAAGAATCTGTTAAAACTGATATATTCTGTGATGTCAAAGATCATTTTTCCCTAAAAATAAATCTAAAAAAAATTACCCTATGTCTCACAGGTTGAAGGTTATTTTTTTTCTTTATTTTACTTATTTTTTGTCTGTTCTTTTTTTAAATTGTGTAAATCAAAATTGGGTTACATTGTCATTGTCGGAAAATAAAAGTAAATGCTTCTCATGCCATCTAATGATAAAAATGGAATAAACTTTTTGGACAACCCAATAGTTAACTTCTTTATTTAGTGATTTTATTAATGACATTTTAACAATTCTATTAGTATTGTATTAATCACTTTAATACTTGGTTAATTAATTGATTACAATTTACTAATCAGCTTTCTGATAACCATTACTGACTGGAATTTTTTTTAAGTGCTTGTTTTTTATAAAAAGTTGCATTTTTACTTGCACATTGCACTTGTTAAAGTGATTGGCTGATATGTTGACAAATTATTCAACATTAAAATTTACCCATCATGACTGACTGCTTTTCTGATTGGCAAATGAATTGATTAATTGACTCGATTCATTATTTATTTCATGGTCATTTAGCAATAACACAAGTGGCTGTTTCACTATTTAATAAATTCTCCAAGTAATAATTTTGATGAAAAATGAATACCTGTTTAGAAATATTTGAATATATATCATTTCTCAAGAAATTTATATTATCATTTCTTGATTTTTTTCTATAACTTTACTAAAATCATATTCTTTTAGGTGGGTGAACCAAATTCTAGAAGAACTGTAATCTCTTCACTGATACCCTATTTGTATGCTAAACTACAGTATCACCTGTCTCATAATTAAAATACACAATTCACTTTATGAATGAGGTATGTATATGAAGAAGACATAGAATATTTCAGTTATCTTAAGTAATATTGAGATGCAAAAGAATGAAATTTGAGAAAGAACTGTTCTGTCTGAATTTGATGATTTTTAGTGCTGTTCTAATCATGTTTTACAGCTAAAAGAATGTATCCGTAGTTTAGATCAAGAGAGTAGCTTTACACCATTCCGCCAGAGCAAGTTGACTCACATCTTGAAGGATTCTTTCACTGGTAAATCCAAGACCTGTATGATTGCCAATATCTCTCCGAATCAGAATGCAACTGAATGTACCTTAAATACACTTCGATATGCTGACAGGTAAGTTGCAGTATACAAATATTACATCACAAGATTTCTAGATATTTTCTGGGTAACAGTAAAAAAAAAAGGGATAAAATAATTGAGAGTTAAGAGATTATCATTATTATTACAATTAGATTCTAAAAAGTAGCCTATAGTGCCAGTATTGCAATATCAATGCTCATAGGTTATGAAGGAGAATGTAGTAGGCTATATGATACTATTCCAGGTATATTGTATCGGTAATAATTTGTTAGTTTTGGAACACAAGAAAGCAGAAGGAACAATAAGTTGAGTATTGTACAAACAAGAACAGCTTTATTGCTGGTCAAAAAGGGTGCAGCCTGTTACAATGTCAAAGGCCAAACTGAACTTTTACTGAGGTAATAAAACTTAAATAAAAAAAGGTAATAAAAGTTAAAACCTAATTTGTTTTCCAGAAGACATTTTCTAATGTTATACTGGTCACAGCTAACTAATCAATACCATTCTGAAAATAGTGTGATTAACATAGACTTCCCTTTCACCACTTGTTACAACTCTTAACCAATCCATGAATATAGATGGTTATTCCTGGTGGAACAATTCTTAATATTATAACAATTATTTTTATTGATTTTTTATTATTAAAGTTTCCTAAATCTAATGGGATCTTGACTCTGCAAGTTAGTGAATATGTTCCTACATTAATTATTTGAAGAATATGGGAACATTAGTATTTGCCTCATGGCCAAGGTAGTTGTACATTTGTTCAAGCCCAAGTAAAAGACAGATTTCCAAATGCTGATTTTCAAGGCCAGTTTCTCATCACTTGGAAGATTGGCAAAACACTGATTTCAATGTCATTTTATTCTCTATTAAGCTATTAAGTACCTGAACATTTGATATAAAGAGATGGTTAACATGGTCATCGTACTAGACCATTAATTAGTGTACTAGACCATTAATTAGTGTAGTGAATTAGATTCTCTTATGGTGTGCCCTGTTTTTGTCAGCCTGTGCTAGTTTAAAGGTTTAAACTTGGCTAGATTGGTTGACTATGAATAACTAATTTATTGATCTATTTATATATATATATATATATATATATATATATTTAAAAATGAAATAATTATATTTACTGTGTCTTTTGTATTTGTTTTACAGAGTTAAGGAAATTCGCCCTGATACAGGAAGTCCCCGCGTAATGAGAAGAAAATGCACAGAAAATATACCTGCCAACAAGAATATTTCAGGAGCAGGAATTTCTCCTTCTTTTTTCCATCACTCAAACATTCTTTGTACATCAACACCAATACGTCGACAGTGTTCTGACTACAACTTGCCAGCTGACACAGCTGCAACTACATTGCTAGACCCTAATGAAAGCCCAATACAAGGCCATCGTATGCCTCGAAAAGTCAGCAGCAAGTTCAATATTTTACCTGATAAAATCACTGTCTCTAAATGTATTCCCACATCTGAAAACCTTCCTACTACTCGTCAAATGGAAGGAGGTTTGCCGCCGGAAACAGAATTCGATAATTACCAAGCAGAGGCTTATACTGAAATGAAGATGGATAATATTCAATCACCTCGGGAAGACGAACCTATTACCTCAGACTTTAATTATGACTTGAATGATCTGAACAAGACCAAAAAAGATGATGATGAATTTACTAGTGATGCTCGATTAATTCAGTGTGAAGGAGGTGCTTATATTAGCCCATCCAGACTTTCTCCATCTGAAGTGAGGATGCTGTATGGTAGTTCCATGCCTTCAGTTGAGCATTTGGGTGGACATAAGTGTCGTCCACCTCTAAATCGTGTCCGTAACCATTCCGATCCAGGTGTTATGCCCAGTGCATTGGCTAACCCAAAAGATGATGGTAAAATGAAACGACAGTTGTCGTCAGATGTAGTGCCTGGCCATTATGATCAACCAGAGGAACATTCTAGCAACAGCACTGATTCTGATTATCCGATTGGAACTCCTGAGGATATTTTGAGGTTCCCGTCTAGTCATAATCAGACCACTGGTCATTTACCAAACCAGCGAGCGATTGAGACAGAACTGAAGACAGTCTTCCCTTTACCCCCTTCTCCTCCACGCATAAAATCCACACCTACTGCAGCTAAAAGAGAGCAAATGCATGTGAGAGACATTTGGGAGAAAGGTTTCACCAGAGTTACTGAACCTCATATTAATGTTTCTCATACAGAATCGAAAAGTCCAAATCCTGCCCCACTTAAACATCTTTCCACAACACTGCCAAATAAACCTCATCGGCATGCCTTTCCAGAGGAAAAAAAGTATTTTAGAAAAGTTTCTAGAGATTATAGCATAAAAGATGAAACATTAAGTGTGGTAAATAACCCCAACACCATAGCTTCATCATCAGCAACACCAACACTAACGACTGTTCTTGATAATACTGATCCAACAGTGGTCACAAATACGAGCAATTTTAGCCAGAGTCAATTCGTGGGTGGTGTATATAGTAATAAGTTAACTGTAGCTGAAGAATTACTCTCAAGCTTTAGAGGATCAGCTCAGGCTGTTCCAAATGACCCAGAGAAATCTTCATCAAGAGAAGCCAGTTTTCTTGAGATGGAACATATTTCTCCACCTGACAGCAGGCATCATCCTCATCCTGAATCAGTTCATCCACCACTAATTGTTGTAGACAGTGTAAGAGAAAAAAAAAGAATTAAAGAAACTAGTATTCCTCAGGCTGAGGCCTACCCTCGCTCCCCTGAACCCCTCCCTGATTTATGTGCTAGTGATATAGCAGCCATGAAACAAAGTCTTTTCCAATTCCTTCAGAAGATGTCATCCATCTCAACAAAAGTGACAGACAACAGTGAACCATCTAGTCAAGGAAGCTCCCTGGAAGGAGCAGTCTACCCACCAAATGACAGTTTTGAAGTTGAGCCTCTCGTTTATAGCACAAAACATTCCAGTACAAACAGGACTACCAACACAGAAGTAGTTTCTACTCACAGCCCACCATTGGTTTCCCTCAGGGAAGTCTCTTCTCAGGCTGCTAAAACATCTGAAACCATCAATCAGACTCCCATAAATGCTTGGTCTCCAAGCAGTCCCAAAACTGGTTTCTTCCCTATTGACCCCCAACCTGTACATAACATACCATCCCCAACTTTGGCAAAATCCCCAGTCCCCAGACATGTTATCTATCCAGTGCCATTCTTGCCAAGTGGTATGTCAGCAACAGAAAATCGACAAGAACTATTGAATAGTAAGGAAGTTTGGTAAGTTATTGCTGTTTGTTTCTCACTAGTAGTAGTAGTAGTAGTTCATTAGCAGGTCCCATCAATATAGTTGTTCTTTTAAGTTGTTCATTATTATCATTATTATGAACAAGAGGTTTATGTGACCCCTAACATAGGTAGGATTTATTAAACATATCAAAACTTTCATTTGCCATCATAATTGCTTTTAGTGTGACACAGCAAATATAATATTTCAGTCCTATCAAACAAGTTTTAGACTAGATAGAATAATAGAACTGGTTTCAAAATGAAATATATTTATTTTTCTTCAAAATTGCAGATTGCAACCTACACATTTCATCCCAAGTATTCCGTCCATGAAGAAAGTTTCTACTTTTCTTGAATTACATACAGCAATCTCAACTTTGGCATCAGATGAAAAATGTTAACCTTTCAATACTGCTTTCAATTTTGGGAACAGTGAAAAGTTTGATGGCACCAAAATGCTATGCATTGAGGGTGTGCAGTAACTCAGTAATTCAGGCTTCTCACAATTTCTGCCATTTGTTGCTTTGCTGGAAAAAAATAAAGAAAAAGTTCTTTCAGATTTGATTTTCTGGAAGGGTTATATGAGTGCTCTCAAGGTTTTACAAAATACCTTGCTGAATTCATCATCATTCATCTTGGCAACAAATCTGTATGAATGATTGCTGCTTTATACAATTATTCACATGTAGTAATCATGACTGATGCTTTTACTCTGTCATCACACAGTAAAAACTAATATTAATCAGGTTTGAACCAAACTTTATATACTACTTAGTACATAGTCAAACATGTTTCTATCTTTGATGTTATGTGATAGGAGACTTTACTTACCAATCAACCTACATATTAGAAGCATAGGTAGAAAGTAAGCATTGTACATTTTAATTGAATTCTCCACAAATTATTTAATCCCAAATGCGATGAATTCTGATTCAAAAAACTAACTGTATTGTTCACTATGTATGTCACATAAAAGTTTGATTCATGATTGAAACAATCAAATTGTTATGAAATAATCTTGTTTACCGTCATAAAAATAGCTTTTTTCTTATTTATGAAAGCAGACACAAGATAAATTCCTCATTTGATCTGCAACTAACAATAGAAAAGGTTTCTTTGGATGATGTCCTTATTACACTTGGCAGGGAATTAAAAACTGCAGTGATATTCAGAAAACTTATTTGGTTACTAATTTTAGTGCATCATTTTACTTACAATTATTGCCATGACACAATCAATAGTCAGTGCATTATTTAAATGAATTATCCTTAAATAATCAGCAGTGACTTTTATATTACTTATATTATTGACAACAAAAGGCTGTTTTTACATTTATATAAATATCAAAGTAATCATTCTAAGTAATGCAGTTAATAGAAATATGTGCTGCATAATTTGTTGTAATTAAAATGTAGTTCACTACTGACATATGTTTACATATTCCATGCATATATATATATATATATATATATATATATATATATATATATATATATATATATATATGTATATATGTATGCACACATTGAAATAATCAAATTGCTTATAATTTATAAACTAGTGCTCACTTGAGGTTTTGATGTTTGTATTGACTGTGATGTTCAAAATAGTGCATTTTAGTGCATCGATATAACTACTGCATATTGTGAATTGTAACAGCAGAATAGGTTCTATTCTCTTAGATTTTAGACTAAGTTTCCTTCCTCTTTTTATTACTATGAATGTACAGTATTAACAAATATGCAAGATTAGTATGAGCCAGTTGGTATCAACTTTGCGACCTATGCCTGTAATTATGTAGTCATTTACTTCCATTTAGTATAATACTGGAAGCTGGGAATGTACAAAACCTATTTCCTTGGACATATTGACACACTTCTAATGGAACAAGTTGTTTCCAAATGTTGTGAAGAGTTCACTTAGTCTTATTTGTTCATTCAGACATTGAATTTTGGCACAAGGCCACAACTATGGAGCACCAAGTGAAGATTGAATACAACAGCAATAATCTGTGAAACCAACCTGCTAATTGTTATATCATAATGAAATGATTTAGGCAGTGAAGTACTGATAACTTACATTTCTAACTTAATTTGTCTTCTAATAACTTATTTCCCTTGTAAATATGAAAGATGAACTTGATTTGAACATTTTGACCAAATACTAAAGTGTATTTCTGGCAAGTGAATTAATTTGTAGAGTTGAATGCCTTTAATTTGTATTGGTTTAACCTACCCTTGATCTAGGTTTAGAATTACTTAATGACTTTATTACACTCACCAATCTCTGTTATTTGTTGACCTTTGACTTACAATGTTATTTCACAGTGAACGTTTGATTCAGGCGCATGAAAAACAATTGGCCACTATGACTATGCTGTGTAAACAAGAGATGAAATTATTGTTACTGGCCAAATCAGGACAAAAGGTAAAAGGCATTTGAAGGCTTCTATAAATCATTGAACCTTTCAAGATCATTTTCTTTTTCATCTGTTGATTGAATTGAAATAGAAAACTTTCATGTGTGCTTTATAAATATTTAAAAATTTCAGACTTATAAAGTAAATGAAATTTTTGCAAATGGTTTTCAATGCAGTAAAAAGTGGATTATTAGTTATGTCGCTACTACTTAATAGACTAATTAATGACTCCCTTTAACAAAACCAGTGACTGATACTGAGAAGATTTTCACGGTAAAAAAGAAATTGTACAAGTGATGTGAACCATAAAAGTGTTGTAAGTTGGATTTAAAGTCTTGCTAGAAGTAGAAATAGACACAAAACATTCAAAATAACAGTAATAATTGATATCATAACATTTCAATATTTTGCATTTATATATTAGATGAAGACATTGTTTTGGTAAATGTTTAATAAAAAAATCCTAGTTTTTTCTTACTTATTTATAATCTGTCTTCATTTTTACTTATAAAAACAATCAGATGGTTGTTATCCTTTTATCTTTGTTACAGAACCCATGATTGTTCTTTGTTGGCTTTCAATAAGAAAAAAAAAAGTAAATGTTACTTTTCAAAGTAAAAAAAAGCTTTGATAAAAAAAGTGTATTCACTTTTAACAAGTGTAGATCAAGTATTGGATAGAGAACTTGAATTGAGATGTATTCCATCATAGGAAAATTGTTTTTGTTAAAAGTTAAAAATCATATCTGCTTCATTACCTTTTATTATTTTACAGTAAAATTCTAAGAAAGAAGCAACCACCAGGAAAGAGTAAATTCATAGAGAAAATTATATTGCTTTTCACTGTGAAAAGTATTTTCCTTGGTGCATAAAATATAAATTCAAAAGCTTGTAAAAATAAATTTTATCAGTCATGATAAAAGGATGAAAAAAAAACATTGTCAGTCAGATGTAAAAACATATGTAGATGAGAAAAATTTGATTGAATATATATCAGTCATTTCATAATGTCTAAACTTTTGATCAGTCAAAAAGGAGACAAGTCAGTTCAGTATTATAAAAGAGATTGGATTTCTAATAGATTCATTGTTTTTTTTTTTTTTATTAAAATAAGATTTTAATCTTTTATAAAAATTTAATTTTAATTAGCTGATATGAGTATATTCATAAGACAGCCATTGTGTAATTACTGCATGTTGTAAAAATTAAATAATTGTTATAAATAGATCATTGTTTAGTTTAAAGAAGGGATGAATCCATTATCAGATAAACAGATTGCAATGAACAATCAATGATACTGATAGATACTCTTGCTGTTATCTGAATATTGATACTAAATATTTCAAGGGTGAGCTTAGGAGTTAATACATTGATCTCTTGACCACAAAGGACACATCTCAGTATCAAAAAAGAAAGGAAAATTGACAATAAAGAATTGAAGAAGAGAAAATTACTCATGAATAACATTGTCCAGAAATCTAAAGCTGTAATGTCTTCATTTTGTGATAGTCATGATTATATATAACCTTAAAGGAATTAAAATTCTCAAGCAAAAGTAAAGTTCCTTTCTTGTGATCAGTCTTGTAAAGTTTCTCGTACAAGCTTTGAGTTTTAGTTCAAACAAATGGAATTTTTCCATCAAAATGGTTCCTCTTTTATTGTTATTCACAAGAGTCAAGAGACACATATTTCTCTTGGCTTTTTGTTTGATGGTGCAAATGTTTGGTTTCATCTTAAATCTTATTTTTCTCTCCTTTGCTTCCTCAGAGTTTCACAGACTTTATAGAAAAGGTAAGTCAGATCTTGAGCTGTAAACTGAAGGCCATCTCGTTGCTGCAACAGGAGATTCAGATCCATGGGGCCAGTATCAGTGCTGCAGGCAGCCAGATGGAAGAAACTGTGTTCTGTACTGGATCAACAGATCCTTCAAAATAACAACCAGTTTTAAGGCAACATACATGCTTGTTATCATGATGATAACAACAACAACACCTATTCACACAAGAGAATGTCTCCTTTGGTTTGGGGACACAACAAATTGTATTAAAGTTTCTTCATAATTACTAAATTATTGTCTTTTCTATTTATTTTGAGACATATTTTTAACAAAAATGTTTTTATTCATTTTGCACTAGTTTATTGTTTTACTTTCATACATTCTCTGTATTTTATAAATAATAACTTTTCACTTTGTGTCTAGTTTGTGATATAATGTTTCTATCTCTGATGTTATTGATGTTATGTGATAGGAGACTTTACTTACCAATCAACCTACATATTAGAAGCATAGGTAGAAAGTAAGCATTGTACATTTTAATTGAATTCTCCACAAATTATTTAATCCCAAATGTGATAAATTCTGATTCAAAAACTAACTGTATTGTTCACTATGTATGTCACATAAAAGCTTGATTCATGATTGAAACAATCAAATTGTTATGAAATAATCTTGTTTACCGTCATAAAAATAGCTTTTTTCTTATTTATGAAAGCAGACACAAGATAAATTCCTCATTTGATCTGCAACTAACAAAATTCATAGAAAAGGTTTCTTTGGATCTTTAAATAATCAGCAGTGACTTTTATAGTCATTTGTCACTTATATTATTGACAACAAAGGCTGTTTTTACATTTATATAAATATCAAAGTAATCATTCTAAGTAATGCAGTTAATAGAAATAAGTGCTGTATAATTTGTTGTAATTAAAAAGTAGTTCACTACTGACATATGTTTACATATTCCATGCATATATATATATATATATATATATATATATATATGTATGCACACATTGAAATAATCAAATTGCTTATAATTTATAAACTTGTGCTCACTTGAGGTTTTGATGTTTGTATTGACTGTGATGCACTGTATGTTCAAAATAGTGCATTTTAGTGCATCGATATAACTACTGCATATTGTGAATTGTAACAGCAGAATAGGTTCTATTTTCTTAGATTTTAGACTAAGTTTCCTTCCTCTTTTTATTACTATGAATGTACAGTATTAACAAATATGCAAGATTAGTATGAGCCAGTTGGTATCAACTTTGCGACCTATGCCTGTAATTATGTAGTCATTTACTTCCATTTAGTATAATACTGGAAGCTGGGAATGTACAAAACCTTTTTCCTTGGGCATATTGACACACTTCTAATGGAACAAGTTGTGCATTATTTAAATACATTATCCTTAAATAATCAGCAGTGTCCTTTTATAGTCATCTGTCACTTATATTATTGACAACAAAGGCTGTTTTTACATTTATATAAATAGCAAAATAATCATTCCATTGTCAAATACATCCTGTCTCTGAAGGAACATTTTATATCGGACTTGAATGAAGGCGAGTTTTCTTTACTATTATAGAGCTCCATATCACAGATTGTATACAACACTACAAGGATTGATTGATGAATGTGTCACCACATTGAAAGATTGGCCAGGATAGAGCTGTTATATTAAGTGTTTGGTTGCGAAAGGAAAGGAATAACGAGGATTATGTTTTGAACAACGTGTATTTGTTAAATATATAGGTTGTCTTACAGAGTTGTTGGAAATCGGTGAAATGTCAATTTTTGTTGTTGTCAGGATGGCGATCAGGTGTAAGGGTAGCTCTGGGAGTTGATCTATCACAAGATATGGTCATTCGCATGTGTTAGTAGATCAAGGTCACAGTGGTGGGTTGATTTGTGGTAAGGTACATTGGTTGTTAAGGTGATGAGGGATTGGCATCTATCTAATGGGGCAGCGGTGATGACTGCAAAGGGAATGTCTGTAGCGAGTCAGGTCTGTTGAGGTGACAGCAGTGGGTTGTCAAGTTGAAGAGGTTAGTGTAGCTGGTGTTCTCCAAAACCTGAGTGGGTTGCATGCTTGCATAGTCAGTCACTGCTTGGAAAGTCACTTGTTTGCAGAGTCGGAGTCGTTTGTTTGCAGTGTTATCAACCATGACGGTTGGCGTCTTGGGCCTGGCGGTGTTGCGTCTGGATAATCGGTTGCTGTAGTAAGTCAGGTTTGCCAAAGTGACGGCGTTGGTGACAAGGAAGGATTGTAGCTAGATGGACATGATGTTGAGATGATATTTTGAATTCCGTGTGTGAAGAGTCAGGTGTTAGTCAAGCCTGGGAGTAATAACAGTTGAGTTGAGATGAGCGGTCATGTTGACGGTGGCAGCAGTAGTGCTCTGCGTGTCGGTTGATGGCCTGCTGGCCTGTAAGTGCTTGTGGTCGTTATGGGAGAACTGCTCTTAAGCAGATCTGGCAGTTTCCCATTTTTGGAGAGAACGTTCGTGATTGGCCAGTATTGTTTTTATCGTGGGGACTTGCTTCAGTAACTGGACGTGATGCTCGGAGCCTATGTGCAGAAAATGACTTTTTTATTTTGTTTCTTGCCTTCATGCAGTTCACATCCAGCCGGCATGCAGAATGAATCAGAAAGAGATCTAATTGCAACAGATTATAACAGAGCCTTGATTTAAATCATGGCTCAAATGTTGACAGAACTAATGAATAAAATTTATCAGCTGAATCCACACAATCTTGAGTTGTGGGCGCCCAACAACAGGGAACAATATCAAGTACCTGTGAAGATGGTGAAGGAATTGTATAGATCCCATCCCAGGCGCATTGAAGTAATTATTCAAGCTACAGAAAGGTACACAAAATATTAACAGTGTAAATAAATCTCTTGAAAATAACATCTCTATCTATGAAAGGCAGGATGTGTGTGTGTGTGTGTGTGTAACGAATTTTCGACGGATTTGCACGAAAATTCACATGCACATGCCCCAAGTTAGCGGGAAGGCCAAGACCGACTTTGCATTTTTTTCAACTCCAATCGATAGTGGAAATAATCGATTTTTTCATGCTTCTACAGCAGTTTTCATGTAGTTTGCGGCCATTTTCTACTGGCCAGAGTAAGAGCCTATAGCTGGCTGCCACGAATAGGCAGGAAGATTCTATTGGCCAGCGTGAGAGCCAACAGCTGACTGACACGAATGTTAACTAGCTAGCATGCAAAAAAATCGATAGCTGCATTCGTTACAAGTAGGGAAAACTTAAATTTGCATGGCACTTTACTTCAATTGGCCCATTCGTTTGCTTAAACTCAACGTTGATTTTGATTCTGCAGAATTGGGTTGGATGTGAAAAAGTATTTGTTGTTAACATTTTTTTCATTTGGTTTTTCCAGTTACGAGTCCTTTTTTAAAGCTGATCGTTTTGTGTTCATTTGTAGTTCTTTTTTCGTAACAGATTTTATGTTTAGTATAGAGCTTAGAAAAAATTCGCAGTGTGAGATAGGCAAAAAGTAAGGCATGTAGCAACATCAGCACGGCAAAAGGGACTCCTTTAAATGCAAGGAAGGGCAAAAATATTTTAAGTCAAGTGATAGCGAGTCGTACGATTTTTGAATCAAGCACGGGCAACGCCGGGCCATGCTGCTAGTTATATTATAAATTTTCATCACCGGTTTTTTTTCTGTTTTAAAACACAGGATCTGACTTGGCTTATGTGAGGTTTACACGGTTATTTTGAAGGGTAGTCTTGCATCTTCCACGATCCTTCAGAACCCTTGCTAAAAATATGATAATTACGTGTGAAAATGACTCCAAGATGGCCAAGTTTCATCTGTAGACAGCACAATAAAAAATCTACTTATAATATGCTAATTATTAGAAATTTACAATAGTTTAAAATGGTCTAAGACTTTTGCACGGTACTGTATATATATTAGAAAATTCTAGTTTGGAAAGTAATTATGTTTTACCAGAAGGCTGTAGGAATAAATGTAATTTATTAACTTTTCTTAATCAAAAATATAATCTCCTTCATTTTCGATAACTGCTGCCCATGGGATGGTAAATTTGAGTTTTTTCTCCACAAAAATATATTCTTCAAGAGTTTTCGAATCTTCATTGTTTCTGGATGTTCTGCCATTGAAAGAAATGAAAATCTGCAAATTGAAGTTGGCCCAGAGAAATCAATGTTCAGTTATCCTTGCGAAACTTTACCGATAGTCCATCAAAAAAGTAGTGGATTTACTTGAAGTTTCATTAATAGAAAACCAAAACAGTACTTTCTTTTATTAAAGTTTAAACGGGTATTTTGTCTATCTCAATATAGTGGACACTTCTGGTGACTTAGAAAAGTGTCAAACAGAATATGTATTGAGATGTTCGGAAAGTAATTACGTATTTCACTGCTACATATGATGACACAACCAAGCAAGTTCGAACCTGTGTTGAATGATAAGAAACTTCGTTTGCGATAGGTTTATCAATTTGTGGTTTAGTATAGTTTAGAGGATGTCTTGAGTATTTATCGGAAACTTTGGAAATAAATGAAAAACGGCTCAAGGGTATAAAATAAATAATATATTTGTATTTATTTGCTTTAGAATGAGTCCTTTGGTATTCGGTGCAGCAAAATGTTCGCTCATAATGCGGATATTGGTAGCAGTCTGGAGAAATGTCAGTTTCGACTCGGTAGTGGCAGTTTTGAAGTCAGACCGCGCTAGTGGTAGTAGTCATTTAGAAATAAAGTCAGTGCCAATCTACTGTGTTTTTCTCGGTCCTCAGAAGGGGACAAATTCTGGTCCCGCAAACTTCGAGCGTTTTTCGGTCGGGTTCAGTTATTTGTTCCCCTTTCTCTTTTTATTTGAGGGTTGCCTTCTCGTTAGCTGAGATAGAAGTATATATAGAGAATTTTAGAGAGAGAGAAAGAGATCAGTTTTTTAAAGGAAAGTGTAAATGCTTTACTTTTATTTTAATTCTTTTTATTTTTGTTTATATTTTAATTCTTTATCGGGACTTAATATAAGCACTTCTGTCCAACCGTGAGTAGTTTATAGTGCGTTTCAGAGTTTAATTGGAAAACTATGCAAAGAGGAAATGTTTGTTCCTCATGAGGTTCCGCTAGAAAAGTGAACGCAACA